AGCAAGTATTTATTTTAGTCCATTTCATACTTATGAACACAAGTTGATTCACTGCCACCGTTTTCTGATCCATCATTGGGATTTTCTTCTGTGATGCATGTTATTCCTTTAGTCCCGTTTGTGTCTTTAGTAATGTGGTTGTCGAATGTGTGGGAGTTGGGAGCCTTATTATTTCCTGAAAATATATCAATTGCCATTCAGTCTGCATTTTGTTGTGCTCAGATTCACATGCAGTCACAGGTAAATACTTTACACTTGCAGACAGCTGATGTGTTCTGTATTAGCGCCATGCAGGATCCTGTGTCTGCACACAGCTAAAACCTAAGCTGCACTGATTATGGAACCCATGCTGCCATTTCCAATGATTTGAACTCGCAAGCGCTTACAACGCTGGACTAGATTACTGTGTGTCTGGGCCAGGAGTATGTGCGCAGCATAGACATATGCTAAGAGGAACTATCGTCTAGGTGTTTGTTTGTTTTTTTTTATTTTTTATTTTTTTATTAAAGGGAGAACATCCAGGAAAGAAAGAGTGTTGACACTGCATTTGTCTCGTCCTTCAGCCTCCTTAATGGCCTGGTCAGCTTGTAGAAGTTTAACCACAGACAACAGACATAAATAAAATATTGTATAATAGAAGGATGTTTACCTTGGAGGATTTAGAGAGGTAAAAATCATCTTCATAGCATATGCTCCAGCTGAAGGTAGCAATTTGTAAAGCTATCAGTTTTTTTTTTTTTTTTAGGTAATCCTTAGTTAGGTCATAGCAAGATGAATGACTTGGCGGCCATATTAAGAACACTGGCCTGTAATGGAAAACATTTTTGTCAGGACTTTTGTCCTGACATAGTAAATAAATATGAGATTTAAGTTAAAAGTCATCCAGTAGAATCGATGTGTATTGTTTGCCTTTCAGTTGTACTCAATGTAATTGGCCTGTTTGATGAGCCAGTCTTTTGTGAGCTTCTAGAGTTTAATATGGAGTCTGGGTGCTTTCCCGTTTCTTTTGTTCATACTTTTGATTGCAATTGTTAAGTAGTCTGACAAATGAAGTCTCAGACAGGCTTTGCTGTGATGGTGTGCCGTGTTGAAAGCGTTATAATATAGAGTTCTATTTATGTCTAGTGGACATGTAAATAAAATGGAAAAATACAATAAATATTGTTCTGATCAACTTAAATTGATACTAAAATCCTTCTGAACACATGTGTGCCAATTTTTAGTCAGTTTACGTGAAACTCCGTGATTTATATTAACTCACAAAACAAGCAAATAAAAATATGTGTGAAAGGTAGCATTGATTTTATTTAACCTGAAAGGTTTCTGCAAGTTTTGGCTAAAATGTTAATCACTGTTTCCAGCTGACGAGAGATTTTTAAATGCATTTAAAAACTTTATCTCTGTAAATGTCTGAGCTGGTCACTGCGGCATGTTTATAGAAAATGTGGAGAGAATGATGGTGCATCCAGATACACTATAAATGCTGTGCTGTGTTAAGCAAAACCTGGACACACAATTTAACAAAATATGAGGCAGTTTCATGTGGAAAGTTGTGTGGCAGCTCTATTAATGTATGTGATGCGTTTATTTAGCACGAAAGAGTGCTGCTTTTTAGTTTTATTATAAATGTATGAGTTATATCCTGTTTGTGAAGAACGGTCTGTTTTCTTTTTGTCAAACAACATTTCTTTCTATTTCTGTCTAACCCATAGGCGGGCTTATTACAGCATCCATGAGTACCCGTCATCCATATTCAATGCAGTAAGCAGTGAGCGAGCAGGAGAGTGCGAGAGAGCATAATGAGGTTACCCGTGCTCATTAGAGATTATACACACAGCTTTCCCAACTCAGAAAGATCAAAAGGCTGATCACTGAGAGTAGGATGGGGAAAGCCTCTTGTGTCAATTATTCATTGCAGAAATAATAGCAAAACCCATCAAGAACTCATCCTATCAGGACGCTGGTGTGGAGTGAAACCACAGTGAAGCCATCAGTAGCAGAAACGGTTAAACAGCTCGAGTATTTTCTCCATAAAACCCACCATGGGGTTTTCTGAGGAACTGTCCATGGTGCCGATCACAAAGTCAGCCGAATTTGTAGCTCAGGCTTCCCTTAGACATGTTTACGTTATTACATGAACATGTTAGCAGCAATTTCCCCACTGTAGTAATAATGTAAATCATTATGTTCAGTTGTCAAAGGACTTGTCTGGCTGACTTTTGTCCAATTTGAAGGGACTTCTACCATATTTTTGACATAATACTTATTTTCAATTACGTTCTCTTAGGAAATGGATTATAAAATATGTTTCTACATATGAGAGGCGTGTCATCTACGTACAGTGGGTGTGCACTTAATGTGCCACTGTTTTGGTTACATAATCATTGTTTCTGCAGTGGCATATTTACACATATTCATCAAATGAGCACATGACCAAATGCTTTGTATTTGATTTTGTTGCAGTATTGAACACAATTAAAACATAGGTGCTATTAAATAAGTCAAATTATGTTTTGGAAGAGCACAAAGAGACTAACTAAAGCAGACCAGGGAACAAATCAAGGAAATCAGACAATTATAAAAATGAAGAAAAATGTGACCATATTTTAACAAGATCAACAAAACCTGCAGAAGAAAAGGCAAGATTGTGGAAATCCAGAGGAAAAATATTACAGAAAACATAAAAAAAATCTTGTAAGCCATAGGCTAAAATCTCAGAACCAAATTGCAAAAGTACAGAAGTATAGATTTCTCTGGATGCACCTCTCATGGATACATTTGCATTAGTGCCACAGAGGCACAAATGCTAGGCACAGCCTAAGGGGTTGGTCTTTTGCATCTGTCTTCATCTGCTGTGCTGTAAACGCCTCTTCACTTATACAAGAACTCATTACTCACAATGGCAGCCATTTAAGTCTTTTATCAGAGAGATTTTTAATTGAACATTGGCGAATGTGCTCCAAACAAATGGGCCTCAGCAAGCCTGCGAGTGGAGTGTTTGTATGTGTCTGTATGTCTGAGAGTGCACGGGTCTCCGCCTGCACAAATGGGTGTGTGAAATATTCATCAGTGCCGTAACTGACTGGTTCAGAAAATAGTACATATTAGATATGAGCCCACACAGAAGAGGGCAAGCGAGTTGTCTGTGGAGGCTCTGAGTGATTGACACGCAGGAATCTGCTTAGAGGTGCATTGTTAGCCTTCGTTGGATCGTACAGGTGGTTTCTTCTCTGAAGAAGATATAAACATAAAAATAATAACACCTGAAAAAGAGAAGCATTGTGGCGTGTGCGAGAACCGTGATGAAACTGCTCCCATTGTTCAGGTGGGACTAAGACCAAACAGGATGAATATGGAAACACTGGTTCTGTGGGTCTGGCTCCCTTCTCTGGGTCCTGGAAACCATATTAGGATACATGACAGCGTGACCTCTGAAGTGGCAAGACATGCTAAATAAAAATCTGACAATAGACAGAATATTAGTGTTTTTGCCGTATTTTAACAAGACAAAGATTCAAAAATCATGTCCAGAGATCAATATCGGCAAATTTTATTCATCTTTTAATATTTAGCAGTATCGATCCGATAAGTAAAACTGATCGATTATAAAAATCAATGTGTATTTTCATCTTGTTGACATTTATTTTGGAGAGGATTATCTATGTTGTGTTTTTTATTTCTAGTCTGTGTGACAGTGATAGTGATGCCACACAAGTTTGTGAGGGCATTTAACTAAAGCAAATTAGGCAGTGTGGTCATTTTGTCAGGGTAGGGAAAGATATATAATATCTATGATATCGGTCATTGGGCAAACCAGCGATATTAATATCTCACATCGATATGTAAATGTTCTTACTAACTAAACGCTGTCCTGTAATAAAGACATTTGTGGCACCATTGGTTACTTTCAGATTTCTTGACATGACTACTCCCCAAATGAATCAATTGGGATGTTTAAAGTAAAGCTCTGAGGGACTTTAAAACATGTACCGGTACTCAGCAGGTTTATAAAATCTAAAGTACAGATGAAAATCAGTCAGATTAAAAATGACTGCAGCCACAACTCTACATTTATCTTTTCATCTCTCTTTATTGCTTGAAAACAGAATACCGTTTATTTCTTTTTATCAGATTGGAAGGTTTAAATGTTAACACAACATGGCACCGTTAATCTGTAAGTCCCGCTATGAGACATGGGGATCAAAGACTCAAACATGCCAACTGTCAATGGCCTCGGCTCAGATGCCAGAAGGGTGCAGACAGAGTCAAAGTGTGTTTCCCTTCATTCACCGCATGCTGTTCTCTGACCTCATTGCACACTATCTTATTAGATTTCTCTTTTTATATTATGCACTTGTGGATTGTGAAACCAGCAGATGGAGCAAAAATGAAAATTTTGTCCATTTGAATGGATTCCAATATCCCGCATTCAGAGTCCAGTCAAGCTGTGCACAATCACGCGTTCCCACGCGCAGCATGTATTATTTGCTGAGGGCTTCTGGTGGCTCCAGTGGTGCCTATTTTAGTCTTGCTCAGGGGCATGTGGCGTTCTGCTGCTGGAGTACGTGCGCATGTGTGCGCCGCTCACACACACTGACACAGATAAAATCCTGTTTAATATTAGAGTTTAATCTTGGAGCACTCAACCTCAGACTCAATACCGACTACTTTTGGTTAAAAATAAAAACTGGACGTAAACTTCTTCTTTTTTTTTTCACATATTCAAGTTCCCTTTGGATTTGTGGAAACTTATTTTCAAATTTACAAAGGTCCACATCCTACATTTTTTTTGTTTTATTCATTCATTTGAAAAATTTGCAGTTCCCTTTCTGTCCGTCTGAATTAAGCGCATTTACATATATTTCACAGGTAATGTGAACATATACACACACAAAAAAAAAAACTAATTACTGAGAGGTCCTGTTTCTATTTTGGTCCCGATGTGGCAAAAATCTTCATTTCCTGACATTGATCCTCTTCCTTTCTGTTCTTCTTCTTAGGAGACTGAGATCAGCACCAGAAGGAAGGAGTGTGAAGCACTCGAAGCAGAGGTGAAGAAAAAGAATCAAACATGTCAGACTTTGGTAAGTGCTCCAAAAATATATCCTGGCCTCTGAATGAAAGGATGATGGTTGAAATTGATTTCCACCCGAAAGCCTTTCCCCACTATCTTCACAGCCAAACATCCCTGGAGAGAGACAGTGAGAGAATGGGTGACATAGACAGCTTGGCTCTCAAAAGATAGTGGGTTGTCAAAAATGACAAAAAAAAAAAAAACCCAACAAAAAACACCCTAATCAGAAGCATTAAATCTAGCCTGGTACATATGAATGTGACAGTCATGTTATTGTTCATGTTTGTCGACACTCACACTGTTCAAGCCAATGCTCGGTTGTCACTTTGTTGGTTTCTTTTGTACGCACAACACATCAAGAAGCTCCACACAAAGCCACTTTGCAATATCCAGAGGTACACTGCAATATCTGTGTTTTTATACCACTGTAGAAGGTCAGCTGTGTTGCAGTGCTTGTGCATTTTCATTTGTTGTTTCTTGAAGGACGTTTTCCTTACAGTGCCCCAGAAATGTCACTCCTGCAGCTGGAGTGGCCTTTACCCGGTACAAAAGCTAAAGGGAACAAACACAGAAAAGGAGGGAAAAAAAAAAAAAACCAAATCTGTGGAGAGAAGATGAAAGAAATGACTGAACTGCTTCCAAATAGATGTTTTCTGTTCTGAGGCACTGTGGCTGTGATAAAGCAGTCATTATTTGCTTGAAAATATGTTCAACAGCATGAGCCAGATCCAAGAAAATGCTAAATGGTTCTTTGGACTCAGGGGTTTTGATTGAAACTAAGTGTGATTGCATGTACTTTCAAGTTGTATTATTTAAGGAGAGTCGTCACGATTGACATGTCTGATTTGGATGATGATTCAAATTCAGACATGTTTTTTTAATCCCCTCGTTGTTTTGACAAACCATTTAATTCAACTAAAAAAAACAACACTTTTTCAGTCCACTGCTTATAATTCACTTACAATATTTATAAGTTTTTAATTTATTCATTTAATTTAAATGAGCAACAAATTGTGAGGGTATTAAGAAAAATAAGTAGGCTATTTCCTTGCATTAAGGCTAATGATTATATATACTCACAGTGAAACGTAGTCAGAATAAATACTGTTTTCTATTTTAATTTCAATACTGTCAGATTCGATGTTTAAGCAATGTATGGACATTAGACATTTTATGTTTCCAACTTTGTCTGACCTCACAACTTTGGGAATGATGGTTGGAAGTTTACATAAACTCACTCCTAAACCTAAATTCCCAGACAAAAGTAGGAATGCCACCATTAGGCTAATTAATTTGGCCGATTTTGTTAGATTTCTTGAAATAGCATTTTTGCAATTTGTTTCGACTGTTAATGGAACATTTTAAGTAAAACACACCAGGAAGAAACTGTGGTGAACCGGTTCCAGGACCATGATGGCAAAGTCTCCAGGATGCATGTGGGGAGTGAGGGCCGGGTTATGTGTCCGATCCAACAGACTGGATACTGTAGCTCAGATTGATCCTGAATTGTGGATGGACAAATAATGTTACATCTTATTGCTGTAAACTGAATCTAATCTATTTTTCAAATAATAGCTTCTTACAAATACATATTTAAACCTGCAATGTGCTGTTCTTTATTCCCCTAAACTCTTTGAAAGAATGCAGTGGCTTGATCCAAAACCCAGCCTGAGATTGAGAGAAAAAAAAAACGCAGTGTCCCTCATGTGCCAAAAGGAAATTGTTGGTAGTTAACGTCTCTGTGCTATGACATCTATAGCTGACATCTATTGCGCGTTATGACATTAGCAACAAGCCGACGTACACAGTCAACAGGATGGATTGATGCGATCCAAGATGGAAGTGGTATTTGGGAGGGAAGCTCCTTAAGTAGTCGGGTTGGGATCATGTTTAAAGCTCGAGTCGATGGTTTAGGTAGAGTTACTGTTACTGTTGCTGTTGCTGTCAGTTCAGGGAGCTTAGCAGGACAGAAGCAGCCCAGACCAAATGGGTACCGCTGATCAACGTTAATCTGAGAGAAACCATGTGGGCTCCTGTAATCCTTGATAAAGGTTGGTTCAAAAAAATTGAACATGCTTGAAACAGAAGTAGGAACAAAATAATGCTGGATTATTCCTATGAAAGGTTGGAGCTGGAGGGATTCAGCAGTAATGGGACTATTTGGTCCAACATCATTTCAATTTATATACTCTTGCTTCGAGCCCTTTAGATGAGCTGTCTTTGTGTGTGGCTCTCTGCCCCAAATAAATACTCCATTAGGACTGTTTTCTTTGCTGACCTCCTCCGACCTTCCCTACTCACGGCAGCCAGCGTGTCTCTCCTCGCCCATTGTCAGCCTGCTGAGTTCAGGGGAAACTACCCGAGGGACAAACTGTCCCCACATGGTGAGCGGGACTGACAGGCTGGTCTCCACAGTAGCACCATGGCTCTGAAGTCTCCCTGCACCTGGCACGGCGAACAGAGACACAAACACAGACAAGTTCAATGAAGGAGGTTGGGATGGCAAGCTGACAGGAATGTCACTTGCAATTTGCTCTAAACTGACTCGCCTCCCTCCTCGTATTAGATTTTTTTTTACGAACGAAACCGGGCACTTCACCCACTTTTTCGAAAGATTTTAACTGTCTATTTTATGAACACTGACAGCTAATATATCAATATACACCATTTTTTATTTTTTATGTTTTTTTTTCTGACTCGAGTGCTGGAATTCCAGGGTCAGTAAACGCCTCCTGGTGATTCGCCTCAGCCGTCATGTATATAAACACGCAGAGCAAATGTGAGAAATGACAGTAAACACTGTCACCGCCATCTGGCACCTCCACCTTCCCGCGTGTCTGATGTTCAACCGCCGGCCGTCACATCATCAGCGCTTAAGGCCTGTTGCCATGGTGACAAGCAGTAGCTGGGCCAGCATCGCTCAAATATGCATCATGTTTATTGACGATCAATACGAGGGCAGTCCGCCAGCGGACTCGACAAGATCCGGCGTGTCTCTGTGATGTATCCCCGGAGTAGCTGGGTGAAATACCTGTAAACACAAACAAGCTGTGAACACAAAACAACAAAAAAGGAAACTTCCAGAAAGGGCAAGCTTGGCGTCTGTCATTGGTTTTATGTGCTAGGGGAATACAGGAACATCCTCACATGTATTCCACTTTATTTAAATGTTCCCCTCCTCTGGCGTTTTTCAAGATTAGTGTACTTGTGGAGGACAGGAAGGCTGAAGCATTGATTAAATAAAGTGGAGTACATATGGAGCTGGAGTGTGTGATGCACTCCTCTCTCTTCGTCTGTTGCAGGTTTGAGACAAAATTTGCACTGAGTGCATGAAGGCACAGATGTGAAACGTTGACTTGGCAATACAGCGACGTTCTCAGATGCATTCCACTTTATTCAAATGTTCCTCTGGCTTTTTCTGAGCTCTTCACAGAAATACAATGTATGGTATGTTTTGGTTAATTTTCAGCGCATTTTTGATAATTATTACCTTTGTCAGTTTCAAAATGACCTTTGTGGGTTTTTGAGTCATTAACAGAGGGTTGCCAGCTATTTTGTCCAGTTTATTTTTCTGTAATATAATTTAAAAAAATATGTAATACTCATAAATTGTCTTTGATTCTTATACTATTTGTGCAGGAACAGCCATTCAGGTGGATAGCTCAACTGGTAAAGTTTTGAGTTAATATCTTGAGGGATTCTAAGATGCAAACTTACTGGTGTTGCTTATTTGTGTGTCAGTTTTGATTGAAACAGTTCGATACAGATCAAATTAAACTTTGTCTTTTAAACCAAATATTACTAAATCTTTCGTCTGTCTGTCTTTTTCTTACATTTTAAGATGCATTTTCCAACAAAAATGAAAAAAACAACTCACCAGGAATACTATATTATTGGGTTTTAATGTAAACACTTTCTCAAGACATTGTTGTCTTGTTTTCTCTGTCAAGCAGTCACACTAATGTTGCTACGCTAAAGTTGCCTGGGGCTGCATCAATTTGCCTAATCGGCTGTCAGTCTGCTGGAGTGTTTTTCAAACAACGACGAGACCTGGAGAAGCATACGGACGAACATTATTTAATGGTGTTGCACAAATTGCATCCTGACACAAAGTGAAATAGTTAACCTCTCCCTTGGCAGAACCCGAGTGGACTGGCAGCATGCAGCTGATGAGGCAGATTGATTTTATGTTGCCTTCACCAACTTCACTCAGTAACACAAGCGTCATTTGGTCAAGAAAACGGTGACGAGCTTAACAACGGTCTCGTGTGAAAACGCCGATTGTGTGGACTCTTTGTTTTATCTCACCAATTAAATTTCGAATAGTAAATATATATATTTTTCAGCTGCATTTACTTCAATTGAGTGTCAGATGGGACATCCTCCTTGTCCTTAAGTGATCCAATTTTTGTGCCTCCTACTGCACGGCTACCTAATGATATCAAAATGTAAAGGTCATCCGGAGGAAGGAAACATGGATGACTCTTCCTTCATTTACCTCTGTGACGCAAATGGCTTTGGTTAAAAATAAAGTCAAGAAAGCGACAGCTGGCTGCACCAAGAGCAAATGATGAGCTCTGCCGTACTGAACAGAGAGTAAGTGGGTGAAATCCTTGGATTGCTCATGAGTTAAATGACAGGGTTGATTCATCTGTCAGGCTCATCAAAATTAACCACGCTGCTGTCTCGGACCAGGTTGAGTCATACAGTCACAGACAATAAAATGGCCCCTCTTTGCTTCAATATATTTTTTCTCTATTGTGTATCAATTATGTAGCTATTCTCGCTTTAACAAATAATAAATAATATAAGCCCAGGTAAAGTGGAAAATTAATGAACCTATGTTTATTCTTTTTTATTACTATTATTTCATTTAATCATGAGGGTCCATCTGAGTATATAATATGAGTTTATGGGGAAGGAGTTCATAAGTTTCTTACTTCTTCCTGCTCCTTTTTCAGCACTTTAAGATTATTGCAGTACTAAAATATGTGTCTTTTGCATTCCTTGTTCATATGTGATTTTATACATCTATAATTTTTAAAGTAACGAAAGAAAGAAAGAAGAAAGAAGGAAAGAAAAACTACAACGATCCTAATTTGATTTGACTATTTTCCAGGTATTTTGAGATAAGTATGGAAACAAAACACTTATATCATACTCAAAAGCATGAGTATGTAAAAATGTTGCTTTTTCCAGACTTTATCACATAAGTCTGGAAATTTTAAAATGTTTGTAACCTTCCATCCTTCACTATTTCTTTATATGCTTTCCCCCTTGCTTCTTTTCTTTCATTTGTTAATTCTTTTATGTATTTATTTACTTTTATTTGCTCCCTTTCTTCCCTCTTTTCCCTAGCCCTTTCTTGATACCTTTTTTTTCTTTCATCAGGTTCTTTATTTTTCCCATCCATGCTTTTGTCCTTTCCTAACCCTGTGTTGTACTTCTCCACAACTGAAACTCTGCCCTGTCTCCTGGGTTTAATCATCTTCATGATGACGTTTGGCATCTAATGTATTTCAAATTGTGATCGAATTACATGCAATAGACGCTATTTACCAGCAAGGTGACTTAGTTTAGTTTCATTGCATTTTATCTAGAAGCATCAAGCTAAAGGCTGCTGTTGGATAGATAGGCATTATTAGAGTTTTTATTTTAAAAACCATGTATCGTTTTCCACAGTTGTGCACTTCATTGTGTTGGTTTGTCGTGTAAAATTCCAATCCAATAGGGAAACAGGCTTGTGGAACATGCAAAGGTTTCACATGTCTGCAAAGCAATGCACAATGAAGATTGTGCATTTTCTTTGTACACTCACGTTGGTATTTAAGCAAATGTGGCTCAGCAGAAAATCCCAGTTTTTCAGCTGAATAATGCAGCTCAGTGTCGGCTGCAGTGTTTTCTGCCTTGTGTTTGTTCCATCTGTGGGCTCACAGACTCTCCACAAAAAATGTGTCTTGCCAAGGGATTATGACTTACATTGATCTGTTTAAAGCGTTAACGCGGCAACAATACAGCACAAAGGCGCAGCCGCTTTTATTGACACTTTTGTCCGAGGCGATATGTGTGTGCTCTCACATCCAAAATTTGGCTGGCCTATCAGAATTTCTCCAAGACCTCAATGAGGAGTAATCTCGTAATTTGCAAAAGAAACCGAGTAGACAGAATTAACAACAAGAGCTGGTCAAATGTCCTCCATAATGATGTAAAAGACTGAATGCCAGTCACCACAAACACACGATGGCTTGATGTTGCCACAGAGGGTGACAACATCAGTTCCTAGATTTACGGGTGCAATTACTTTTTCAAAGTATAAAAGTTTCATTTTTGGTGTCTGTAAAAATGTTTAATGTCAGACATGTTAATTTTAAGGACGTAATTATTTTACAAAAGCTGTATTTTGTATTTGTATTATTGTTTGTGAAAATATCCTTTATATGAAACATCAACATACAACAAGAAAGATAAAAAAAAATAAATAATTTTCACAGCACTGAAATGTAAAGTAAAAGTTTCTTTGTTCAGCTTTGGCAACTTTTTAGTCTTCAGTATGGATACCTGAAAGACAAACACCTTCAACTATTGTTATTGACTCCAAATTGCTGAAAAACCGGCAGTGAGCACAAAAGCCATTTAATGCATGCAGCTTTTAGAAGAAGCACTGAAACTAAAGAGAACACATCTGATCTCAGACGTGGCTTCACATGTGTGTAGTCTTCAGGCTGTTTACTCGGTAGTGCTTGTCCTTGACGACGTTTCTCCTCTGTCGTTTGCCTCCGTAGAGATTGTACGAACACCGGCAGCAGACAGGTTACACGGCTTTTGTAAGGGTTTACGAATGTCACTCATGAATCACCACAATAACGAAGCAAAATGTTTTCATCCGTCTAACAAGCGTTCTTCAGAATGGATCTACCTTTTTATGTTCACTTTAATCTTCGGTTCAACTCTGAAGCATCCTTCATGAGTTAAACATAAGGCACCAGGAGCAGAACGCAGGGGGCTCCGTTATACAGTAAATGTATCATGCATGAGCCTGTGGGTTTCCCGGCTCCTGACAACAACAACCCTTGGCTGCTGGAGCTGCAATAAATTGCTCGTCGTGGAGAACCCATCAGTTGACACTGCAAATTGCTGCCACGGCGCACTTCACAATTGTTGATTGAATGTAATTAGTTTTCCCCTCCTACAGTGAAGAGATTGTTTTCTTTTACTCTGCACTGGGCACACATGACTTGAAAAAGTTTGGTACGCACGTGTAAGAGCAAAAAAAAAAAAAAAAAAAAAAAAAAGAAAGGAAGGAAGGAAAGAAAAAGCTCAGAAGATTATATGTTTCGTTTTGCAAACAGTGCTGTACGTTTAAAATGCTCACATAAAAGCCACTTGGATGTCAATACTATTTTACTGCTGCTGTGACGCAAATGGCAGCTGCTTCTTTTAGTGATTCTATCCTCCACAAACTGCAGAATCTGAAGCAGTCTCCTTAGATGAATAATGCATGGGTCGTTGCTGACAACACGCTGGGTTTGAGTGCATTCCTCCTGTCTAATCATGGTGACTTTTCAGGTTCTAAGAGCTGCTTTCTTTCTGACTCCTTTGCCTAGGAGAATGAACTTCAAGAATTCCTGCAGGAGAACAAGCACTTGAATCTTCAGTGGTTCAACAACAGCCACAAAGCATCTGACTATGAAAAGGTAAGAGGTGAAAAGGCTTTGTAGAAGGCTTAAATACATTTTCACAGAGCTTTTAGCTTGGCACTCGGTTCTCTGTGTGTTTTTCTTCGTAGATCATGGCCTTCCTCTCTTCGCTTTGATGCAGCGTGGAGGCTTTCTTGGTCTTACCATAACTTAGCTACGTCCAGCATTCTAGTGAAGGAAATCACTGAAGGAAGTAAAATGTTGTTGAGATATTGACACCCCGTCGAAATAGTTTAGCAAACAGAGACCTTGGGCCTTTCTATGAGGAAGGCAATTTCCTGCAGTAGTAGCTCAGAGGCAGGTGTTTGCCACTAAGGTTAAATGTTATTTTATCAGGATATGAATGACTCTGGGAGCAACGTTCTCATATCAGACTGATATTAAAAGAAACAGGGTACAGTACAGCTCAGGTCTTGTCCTTTGCAAACACATTTGCAGTCAGGTTCCTGTGGTCGGGAAGGTCCTGCTTGTAATAAACTGGCTTTAACTGAATCTGGTGTCGTTTGGATCAGTGTGTCATGGTTGGGTGTGATGGGTGGATTCACGTTCACCTGTCGGTTCTTGCTGTGTTGTGGCTCTGCGGACAAGCAGACTTACGAGTCTGTGTTTTGATTTGTTAGTGTTTGTGCAGTTTATCTCCTTGAGGAATCATTAGTCATTCATGGCTGCTCTGAGGAAGGGGTTTTACTACATTACAGCTGCAGGAGCTCGTCAGCTCAGTGGCGATTAGGGGCCATTTAAAGTGCTGACGGAAAATAGAAGCAGTGAAAACACTGCTTCTAAGACTTTGTTCTGTTTCTTTCTTCACACGACGTTATACTGTCTCTAAAGAAAATGTTTGCTCCACAAATTATTTCAGTGAATTGTGTCTGAATCATATTATCAGACACGTTGATTTATCACATACGATGCCTCGTAAAAGTATTCACACCTCATCAAAATTGTCATTATTTTCTACTTTACAGCTCTAAACGTTAATGTTTTTTCTTATGACTTTATTCGTCAGACCGGAAGATCATGCATGGTTTTCTTTTCTTTTTTTTTCTCAAAAATAAAATCTGAAAAGTGTAATATGGATTTGTATTCCTAATCCTTTGCATTGATATCTCAGTTGGTGTAAAACTTGTTTTGCAATGTCCAAAAGAGCTCAAAGTCTAGACCTACAATTACCTAAAAATCAGTGGTATACAGGTTACAGGTTTCTTCTTTTCTTCATTCAGTCATTTTGAACAATTAAACATTAAAGCAAAACACTTTAAAACTAATTCAACAAAGCTTTAGCCCGTTTGAATTGGAAAGCTTTTCAGTTTCTCAGTGTGCAAAGCTAGAAGAGACCAAAAGACTTATTGTAATTGGACTGAAATGTGTTTTGTAAATGGTACAGGGTTGAATCGATCCAAACTAAACTCTTCAGACTCATATTTGTTGAAAAAAAATGTATGCACTACTTTATGGTGGTTAGTTAAATGTAAATTGTGACAAAATTGTGGAAAGTGATGTTTGAATGTTTTCCAGGGCCCTTTTGCTGGCAACAGGTGAATAATTATTTGTGTCAAAAGCAGCAGCTCTGCCTGTCAAAGGAAAGATGTGAGAAATAAGCCGAAAATAAGCAGATAGAAGTATGCAGAAAGATGAAGGAGGAGTTTTGCACTTGTTTTCCTGCCAGAGGACAGATTTTGTCAGTACCGTAGCATTTAGCCGCGCTTGATAAAGTCACAAAACAATTCGGGTGTGAAGATTATATGGCTAATCTTGTAGTCAGTTGGTTCCACAACAAAAAGCATGTCAGAAAAGAAAGAGTGAAAGAACTGCACAGTTATCAACTTGTTGTAGGTTTTTAACGACTGAGAAACATCCTGGTGTTTATATCTCAAACAGCAAATAAATTTTAGATGTACAATATAATACTGTATGTTGAGTTTTTAGCATTTTTATGCCTATTTATCTTTAAAATTCACTGAAGAACTTGACTGCAAAGAAAGAAAACTGACACAGCTTAAGTGCAAAATGGTTTGTTCAGATTTTCAAAACTGAAGAAAGAAATTAAATGACAATGCAATGATATGAAACGGGAATCAGATTTGACAAATGGATGAGTTGGCCTGTTACGGTTCACAAAACTGTAAATTGCTGTTTAGATCAATAATCTAAACCGTTTTGCTTTTGGACTGTCATCTGCCTCTGCCTTGACTCTTGACTTGTTCCATCTGAACAGGTGAAATCAGAGTATGCCCAGCTCAAAGAGAGGCTTGGTGTTGTGACGCAGGAGAGAGATTTAGCCCTGTGGGAGAGGAACCAGCTCCAAGGCAAACTGGAGAACCTAGAGCAGGTGCTCAAGGTAAGGAAACGCGACCCGGGTGATGCCACCATCTCTCCATTCTGTGTCCCCTTTCTAGATCTTGAAGTTCAATCATTCTGGGAGTTTGATGCGGGTGTTTTTATAGAGCCTACTTCTTCTCCAGCCCCTCCTCTCCTACCTGTGCCGCTCTAACCTCCTCCTCCTCTATGGTTTCTAATGTCCTCGACATGTCTGTTGCCTTCCAGCGTCGTGTTGGGAAGGTCTGACCTGGAGCTGTGAAAGAGCACAAGCTGGGAGCAGTCTGCCCTCTTTTCTTACCTATGTCACTCTTATGTTGTCCAACTTCACTGGATCTGTTGCTTCCTCCCTCCCTCGTCCCCTCTTCCCTTCCTCCCTGCTAGATTTCTAAGGTATCACTGCTATGGCCACCTGTTTTGGGAGCAGCCTGAGTTATTCCCGTACTGAATGTTTCATGTCAGTGGCTGTGCTTTTGTCTCTCTTTATCGGCGCGATGTTTATCAGACATAAAAAATTAAAAAAAATCACGTGGCTTCAACAAACAGCACTGTGGAATGTGATTTATGCATGAGGCAGGATGAAGAGTTTGGCTTTATGATGAGAGGGGAGGAAGAAGAAAGAGAAAACCTGGGTCACCATCCACGACGATGATGATGTCACCAATAAGTTTGACGACATTGCCGATTTTAGAACTTAATTTTCACTGGCATGAAAACATCATTTGCTTCGTTCACCTTGGCGTGTCAACGGTTCACACGTTTTAGAAGCAGTGATGCGGCTAGACGTCACAGGCATCCTGTGTTACAAAGTTCCTAGCATTCAGTCCCTTCTTTGGATGGCTTCTTTGGTTGAGATGGATGATCACAAGCAAGTGAGCACGCTAACAGAGTTTGCTCACCCTTTTAATGTCACATAAAAACCTCCAGATTGATCATTTAAAGACAAACTCTCTGAGGACAACTTTTAAAGCCTCCTGTTAAACAAGACTTTAAAGAGGCACAGTGATACATAAAGGGGGCAGCAAACCTGGAGGTCCAAGTACATTTGCACTGCCATGCAGGATTATTTATATCCCCTGAAAACCTTTTCACATTTTGTCACGTTACAGCCGCATACTTCATTTTGTTTGTTTGAATATCGGGTGATTGACCAACAAGTTGGTGTACAACTGTAGAGTGGAAGGTAAAAGTGAATTGAAAGTCAGGGTGCATCCATGTTCAGCTGCCTTTACCCCGAATGCCACGAAATGAAATCTAACCAAATGCCTTCAGAAATCGTCTAACTAGCAAACTAATTCCACTTGTTCTGTGTGAGCCTTAGAGCACATGGGTGGAACTCAAGGCACGTCTGCCAAATCCGGCCCGCCGTAGCTTTTCATGCGGCCCTCTTTAGACTAGACATTAAGTCTGCCTAAATGTTGTGTTATCAATCAAATCAATGCAGTTTTTATTCATTTACTGCCAATTTATATCTATCAGTCCCTCCAGTTTCTTGCGAATTGTGGTGGAAATTCACGCAGTTAACAAATCGCTGCACTCTTTTGTGCTAATAAATAATTGGGAGTTTACTGCAGATTTTTCTCAAGAATTGTCAAAAGCTTTCTTAGTTGTACTAAACAGATGCGTCGGCCTTAGTTGATGTCAGATTATAATTCATGGTCTACGCAGCGTAATAAGATGTCATATTTACAGTCATAAATAAGTGCAAATATTTCCAAAATAGTACCACAAATGCTTTGATTCTTCTTGCAAAAAAAAAAAAAAACAAAAACAATCGCAAAATTCTGGAGGGACTGAAAAGATGTTTAATATTATTTAATTTTAAGAATTCGTTAATATTTTTAGCTGGCTTTATCTTTACGTTATGGCACAACCGGCTCCATAGGAGCATTTATGAACTTGATTTGCCCCAAAACAAAAATGAGTTTGACACCCCTGCCCTTGGGGTTTATTAAGCATAATTAATGAACAAACACAATTAGAGTTGTAATGATTTCTCGAATGATTCGAGAATCTTGATTATTAAAATTTGTCGAGGAAAATGTATGCATTTCTAAGCTTTGTTAAATTATGTTTTATTGTGTTCTGTCTGGGTCATTATCAGTGTTGGGCAGCGCTCTCACTTCCGCCTATGAGTTGTTGCTAAGTGCTAGCAGCATAGCGTAAAATTTTCCGGGTTGTTTGTCAGGAGACCAATAAGCGTCCTTAAATTGACTGGCGCGATGCTTAGAGTACACAGGCTTTTCTCATCCTGGAACTGCATGGTGAATGTTTCAAAGCGAGTGGTGGGAAGAGCGCTGCAGTTGTTCTTGTGAGCGGATAAACTGAACACTGCGGGCAAATACCTGTCAAGTCTCTCTCTCTCATTATCCAATTACTCGAATGATCGTAAGAATAATCTATTGCTAAAATATTATTAACAGGCCTAAACACAATTGTGAAGACCAAGGAAGAACGGAGATTTGTGGGATGCATCCAGCTTTTCTCAGTCAAACTACTTGTTCAATCTTCGAATCATTGTGTGCACAGCAACACATACATTTGAGCAAGTTACACATGCTTTTGTACATCATGCAAGTGATTATGTGCAATTCTTTGCTTTTTCCTACATTTTCGATCGCTTTTGTCATGTTAATCAAACTGTATTATACTGGTTTCTGAATACTCGGCCTCCACAGCAGTTCAGCTTAATTTTAAGAATTCGTTAATATTTTTAGCTGGCTTTATCTTTACGTTATGGCACAACCGGCTCCATAGGAGCATTTATGAACTTGATTTGCCCCAAAACAAAAATGAGTTTGACACCCCTGCCCTTGGGGTTTATTAAGCATAATTAATGAACAAACACAATTAGAGTTGTAATGATTTCTCGAATGATTCGAGAATCTTGATTATTAAAATTTGTCGAGGAAAATGTATGCATTTCTAAGCTTTGTTAAATTATGTTTTATTGTGTTCTGTCTGGGTCATTATCAGTGTTGGGCAGCGCTCTCACTTCCGCCTATGAGTTGTTGCTAAGTGCTAGCAGCATAGCGTAAAATTTTCCGGGTTGTTTGTCAGGAGACCAATAAGCGTCCTTAAATTGACTGGCGCGATGCTTAGAGTACACAGGCTTTTCTCATCCTGGAACTGCATGGTGAATGTTTCAAAGCGAGTGGTGGGAAGAGCGCTGCAGTTGTTCTTGTGAGCGGATAAACTGAACACTGCGGGCAAATACCTGTCAAGTCTCTCTCTCTCATTATCCAATTACTCGAATGATCGTAAGAATAATCTATTGCTAAAATATTATTAACAGGCCTAAACACAATTGTGACGACCAAGGAAGAACGGAGATTTGTGGGATGCATCCAGCTTTCTCAGTCAAACTACTTGTTCAATCTTCGAATCATTGTGTGCACAGCAACACATACATTTGAGCAAGTTACACATGCTTTTGTACATCATGCAAGTGATTATGTGCAATTCTTTGCTTTTTCCTACATTTTCGATCGCTTTTGTCATGTTAATCAAACTGTATTATACTGGTTTCTGAATACTCGGCCTCCACAGCAGTTCAGCTTAAGTTTATTGCGTAAGTCTCAAGACGCAAAATGCTTGAACGGGTTGTCATAATATGTCAAGCATATTTCTAGACATTTCAATTGGACTTTATTCTACATCTGACCTGAACTGATAAATTGCTCCCAGGGGAATACTGAGTTTGTCCAATGTACATTAAGCGTTAGATCACCCATCGATCAACCACATGTCTGAAATAGATTGAAGGTACATCTCAGTAACTATCAGATGGTAGGAATACAGTGGATGTAGCCTGAGCACAACACAATGTTACATCACTGACAATGAAAGGACAAGGATTTGATCAGGGTCAACAGCCAGAAAGAAGAAAAAGAGAAGAAGATGGGAGGCAGAACAGAGGAAGAGGAGAAGAGGCTGATGACATCTGCTAGTTTCCATCACTCCAACATCATCAGGCAATAGTTTGTGACCCACAACAGGAGGCTGATGGAGTTCCTCTTACCCCACTCCCCGGTCCTTAACCCCATTAAGGGATTTTTCTCAGCATAGAAATAGAAAGTACATAAAGAGTTCACTGTAATTTCTACAGCATTGCATGTACAGTCTTCCTTACGCAGTTGGTCTTACATAGGTTCCTGTTGCTACTTTAGATTTTTTTTCTTCTTTGTGCCTGCTTTATCATGTATCATGATGACACAATCTGTCATCAGATTACAGTAAAAGCATGCCCAGCCACAGATTACAACAGGACAACCCCCCATAGTACACTGTTACATTGAAAACATGACTAATCAGTTTGACTTGTCATTCTGAGGCACTGATATGTTCACTGACACATATTTAATTTTGAGTAGCTAACTATGGATTTTTGAGAAGTAAGCTGGATTTTGCAGGTGATTCCTGGTGTTTTGCTGTTTGTGCAAATTGTTTTGAGAAATGCACCAAAGTGACAGAAAAACTGTGTTAATAGATTCTGTCAGCTGGTTTGCTGCTATGTTCCTCACTCTTCATGATATTGTTTGTTTTCCAACAAACCTTTGCATAGCGACGGGATTATTCGGATCTTTAATTAAAGACAAGCTGACTCTAATTACTGCCATTGCTTACTGTTCAGGTGACTTCTGAAGGCATTTCAGTTCACTGGAGTAAAAGGAATAAAGGGGGCTAAACCTACAAAAGCAACACTTTACAGATATGAACTGAAAAGTAGAAAAGCGTGTATAATTTCCCTTCCACTCCAGCGAAGTGACGTTTTCTTCAATGCGATGAGGTCCGTGGCTGTAAGGTGACAAAAAGTGGAAAAGTGAAAAGAGGGGTGTGGATACTTTTACAAGACAATGTTCTTTGTCGTTGTCGTTGTTGTTGTTTTTTTTTTTTGAAATGCAAAGCATCTCTTGTCTTCTTTTATAACCTAAATTCATTCAGATATATTCACCCGCTCACATGGTCTATTTTGCAAATGAAAGTTCACGCCTTTGTCATTCTTCAAAGATTTAGCCATCGGCACTTGGCCTCTGATCCGCTCTTAGTCGTGGCAACCTCCTCGTCTTCAGCAAATACGGCGTTGAAGATCTGAGATGCTTTTTTTAAAAGGCAGAACGTCACTGAATTTCAGTCCCACTAACAGCAGCCCTCTCTACTCCCCCTCTTCTCCTTCTGGCTCTCCATCCCTGCGTCCTTTGCGGACAGCATATGCGTGAGGCTGCAGAGCGAAGGCAGCAGCTAGAGTTGGAGCATGAGCAGGCCTTGGCTGTACTCAATGCAAAGCAGCAGGAGATTGACCTTCTTCAGAAGGTAAGAGAAGTCTGATTGTGTAACACTCACAGCGCCAGAGGACTTGGCTTTTTTTTTTTGCTCTGATCTTAGTATGTGTTACGGGTCAAAGAGCATTTTTAGTCGAACACCATTGGGACACATACTGCGCAGCAAAGGCAAAACTTCCCTGAAATGCTCCATCAACACATTTACTGTTAAATTATGCCTGTATCATTTTATCACCAAAACCCCCCAAAACTTCATCCTCTTGATCACTCCTTGGACTCTGCTCCTGTTTTGTAATGTAGAGCAGACATGACAGTAAATAATAAAACAAAAAGCCTTTCTCGGCCATTTGATGGTCGAGTTTCCCCTTCTGTGCACTGGAGCTGACTGTAATGTCAAAGCGAACCCAGCAGTCACTGAGATTGCTGATGGTGTGAACGTGATAGGAATTGTCACCAGTGCCATCTCTCGAAAAACAGTTTGTACCACAGTGTTGCCGTGGCTGTAGCGCCCTAACTTCACAGTCAGCTTTTTACAGGCTGTGGCTCTCAGCTTTTTTCCTTTTTTCTCTCATTAGCAGAAGCTCATTATGGGCTTATCTTCCTTCAGACACGGGCTGCTCTCTGTGTTCTCCCAAACTGATGGGCTGCAAAGGAGATTTATCATACTGTAAAGTCCACACACGCTCTTACATTCATGTGGAACAGATGTTTGTAGCTCCTACAAAGAGAAATGTTATGTGTTGCGCTGTGTTCCCCCACAGTCACAGTGTTTTACGTTATGCAAAGCTCATTCTTCTTGCAGGCACTACAGAAATGTTGATAATTATTTTTGCAAACATAAAACTCAATTGAATTAATTCTATGTTTGTTTGCACAGAGCCTTACAAAAGGCAAAGCAATTAATTTCAATTACTCCACATGCTCAATGGTGACAGAGCAATCTTTCAAAATAGGCAATTATCCAATAACAAGTGGAACGTAAAACACATAACCGGGGCATTGCAGATATTTCAGCAGTCTATCAACACACGTCATGATGTATTTAATGTGATCAAAGAGCGGCGTTCTGCGCTGTTTCTGTTTTCGGAAAAACCAGAAATGAAATGTGCGAGTTGTAATATTAATTTTACAAAATTATTCCATGAATATTTTGCCCCGCAACAACTGCAATGCATTTTATGAGGATTTGTAGTGAAGTAGCATAATTGTGAAGTACAGGTGTGCTTTTAAAAGCAGTTTTAAAAGAAACTCTGAAAAGTGTGGCGTGTATTTGTATTCAGCCTTTCAGAGTCAATGCTCCTGCCAGCTGCGATCACGTCTGCTCGATGTCAGTCAGAGTTGATAGACAGTGCCTCTAAAGACTTTCCATTGGATTTATGTCCTGAATTTAGCTGAGCCAATGCGACACATTAAAGTGGTCCGAGCCGTTCCACTGTTGCTCTAGGTTTGTTTGTTGTGCTGCTTCTGTGAAGTCGTCTTCCTTTAGTTTCTTCCATTGTCCATCAACTCTGAGCAGCTTCACCGCTGAGAAAAATAACCACCCAAATCATAATGCCGCCAACGCCGTGCTTCAACTCAGATTGAATTTGTTCAGTGTGACGTTCTTAAGGCCTCCTGGATGTTTGATGTGATGGATTCAGCAGAGCTTCTTAAAATGTCAAGTGATGGGGCGCTGTTTTACAACATAATCTTGATATTGTCTCCTTAAAAACTTTCTCCTTTATGTGCCTGCTTTGCCCTCTGGTCTCCATTATGCTGTTGTTTTCTCACAAGTGTTGGAGGCCTTCACCGAACTGCTGAACTCACACTGAAATTAAACTTAATTACATTAAATACATGCAGACTTCCTTTTCTAATTGGGTGGTTTGTCAAGGCAGTTGTATTTTAATTAAGGCTGTCAGAGTAAAGGGGGGTAAATACAAAGGCACACCACACGTTTCCTTTATTTGCGAAATATGCACAATATTTTTTCTTCTACTTCAAAATTAAGCACTGCTTTGGGTGTTTTTTTCCCCCAAAATTTCCTAACAAAATCCTTAAAGTGTGAGTGTTTCTGCTAGGCCACTGTATATTCACTGTATTGGAGAGACTTTTTATTTTTTCTCTGACAAGCAGATTCCAACAGGGAATTAATAAATTTCCTTCTACTGAAAGCAGTAGAAGGAAAACTCACAGTATTGAGCACAAGACCTGAATTATCGATTTAGGTTTTATTGGCTCAGCATCTGTAGCAAAGGAAACTCTGCAACTCGTTGTCTTGTTGAGTTCTTGTGCCTTTTAAATGCCTCTGTGCTGTTTGTGAAAGCCTTTCTCTGGTTTAAGTGACATTAAACATCAACAAAGAGTGCTACATGAGTGAACTGCCCCCTGTGTTTCCCAGGCTCAGGTTGAGGCTAAAAAGGAACATGAAGGCGCTGTCCATCTGTTAGAGGTGAGCGTCTGGACGAGGGGGTGGGGGGTTTGGCTGTGTGTTTTTGTGTGGGTGCTGCATGAGATTGTACCTCGGTGAGATCAGGCTGTGAGTCATTTTCTGATCTTTACTATGTCACTTTAGAAAACCTTGACAGTCGTGCTATTTCTTTCTTCAAATTCTATTTGAATGCATATTCATATTTAGTATTTGTTCATTTGTTTTAGAAATGCAAATATGCACTGTGGATCCATATAAGTGACCTTTTCACAAGTTTGGCCATATGTTAGCATGAAGCAAGTTGAAGTGTTTTAATATATATGTGTATTAATATAATTTCAAGATATGTGTGAGTGATCACATATTTGATTTCTCTCCCTGCATCTCTTTTTACTGAATGGGTCTATGTTTATGCGTAAACAGAACCACTTGGACAGCATGCAGGTATTTCATAATTGCTTTTATTTATTTCCTTGTGCTTTTTAGAACTACACTAGTGAAATATAATAGGATGCAACAGACTATGCAGTCAAAAAAAATAGAGTATGATGTTTCACCACACTTTATTCAATCTGGGCTGGGTTTAGAAATTTAGCATTAGGAGCTATATAACATATATTTGGTAAAGTTAGTGGTGGCGGGGAAAAGTAACATAAATCTGGAAATTGTGAGGTGTCAATTTTCAAAAGTGTTCCGAGTTTCATCTGAACAACCTTTGTTTGGCTTCACTCACTGAGCTAAGGCTCATATTTTTCTTCAGAGAGAGTTTACAAGTGGAAACTCAGCCTACTGCATCCGCATTATTTGATCATGAAGAAAAATTCAGGCACACTGAATGTATTTTTGTTTGGGTTTATTTCCAGCAGGTTATTGTTCACAAACTTCACATTTATAAAAATCCTAATTGTTTACATGTGAATGAAAAAAGTATCTTGTGCAGCCCCTTATTTCTTTACGTATTCAAATCCTTGGAGCCTGACTCGTCTCTTCGTGCAGTCTGGTTGAATAGCAGGACAGATTTGACTGCACTTGGCAACAAGTTGTAAACCTCCAAAGAATGACGAAAGCTCTTAAAGAGAAAACAGTACTTCACCTTTTCCACATTATTATGTTAAAAAAGCCATATTCTGAAACGTATTCAATTCCTGTTTTTATGCTTAAAACATTCGTCTATCTTTCCGTCTCAAGTATCTTCCTGTTTCCGTGAAGAATATTCCTGTAGCCTGATGCCGCAAACAACCATGTTTCACTGTAGGAATGATATTAGGCATATGTTCCCTCCATATGTTTTTTGCCACAGATTTAAATCTGTGCCCCATCAGACCAGAGAATTTTATCTGTCAGGTTCGGAGTCTTTCAAGAACTTTCTTGGTAAATTGGTGGATTGATGCAGGAATGTTTGTTCTTCTGGAAGGATCTCCTCACCCACAGAGCAATGTCAGCCTGGCGTTCTTGATCGCTTCCCTGAACAAGACGCCTCTCCACTGATCCCTCAGCTCAGATGGCCGTCTAGCTCAAGGCAGAGTGAGGATGGATCCAAGCTCTGCACATTTAAAAATAATGGCGGCCACAAGACTCACCGGGGTGAAGATTTGTGCCTCGAGATAAATCGGGTTCAGAAACTTGCAGACATTGTATTCAGTTTATTCTCTACAAGAAATGTCGTTCACAATAAGGCTTGTAGCTTTTTCTGTTGTTCGCTGGTTGTCCATTTTCCTACATCACTTTACGAACAATGTTTGTTCCATTGAAGGAATATTTAAAGAAATAGGGGCTGATTCAAGACTTTTATCTGTGGCAGACTCTAGAAGCTGAATGTTTTGACAAATTATAAAATTGATAGTAATTTTCTTAGTTTCTAGTACATTAACTTGAAATCTTACAGAGAGTAAAATAATGATGCATGTTATTTTTTTTTAATGGCATGTTGAACATTTTTCTGCATGTGAGTGAAGAATGTCTGTTTCTTGACTTTATATTCTCTCTTAGATTTGTAAAAATCTTACTGTTTGTCTTCACGTAGCATGCTGCTTGTAGCATGTGTAAAATGGTCTCAGCGTGTCCAAAACAGCGCTAACTGGAGCTGTTTATGGGGAAAAGTTTAAAAAAAAAAAAATTCATTGTGCCTTAATGTGTGTCTTTGGGTGATTGCTGATGAACTTCATCAATTCGTGCTGCAGTGCCTGGACATTCCTTGAGTTTGTGCCTCCTTTTTACGTACATGAAAGCGGGTGACATTTTTCTTATTGTGTTCTTCCGTTGTAAAGACCACAACCAACATTATTTAAGGTGACGATACACATAGACGTCTTATTTGGTCGCTACCAGATGCATTTTTGATGTTTCACTCTCAGGTTCAAATTGTTAGTTTTGATCTTCGCACTGCGATCAGCTCAATAAGAAAAATATACAAAATATACGTTTTCATTCCAGATTGATTCAAAATCACTTAAAAGTTGCATTTTCTTTGGATTTTCTTTTTTACTTGACTTTTTGTTCTTGTGGTGTGACGCATTGCAACTGCTCTTGTCAGTCCGACATTTAACACCACTCAACATTTTATTTGCACGCATGCATTGCTGTTCGGCATGTGCAACGTTCAGAATAATGTCGGTATTATTTTTGTACCCGTCTTACTTTTCTCTTTGTCTATCCCTCCCTTTTGACCTCGCCTCTTCGTGTGTCCACGTCTGCCTGCCTTGCTCTTTGTCTGTTTCTGCTCTTTGACGCTCCTCCGCCCAACGCCGTCAGGCCAAAGTCCGAGAGCTGGAGGAAAAATGTCGTTCTCAAAGTGAGCAGTTCAACCTCCTCTCAAAAGAGCTGGAGAAGTTCCGGCTTCAGGCCGGGAAATTTGACATCCTTAGCACTGAACCCTTAACTGTGAGTGAGTCTCCGGGGTCCCCCAACAAATCCTTATCACAGCTCCTCAATGGATTGGCTGCTCCAATCGAGAAAGGTATGGAGAAAATCTTTGAGGTTCATAGAAATTTTTTATTGTAATTTCTTTTTAAATGATTTTGGATTTCTAAATATCTAATAAATATACAAGTGTAGCTGAATTGTTTCCACTCAGTTTGGTAAAAACGAGGCAGTTTCAAGTGCCAAAAGAATTTATTTTTCTTTGCGCCTTGTGTTGTTGCTGTTTGCTCTGAGGATCTGATGAGAAGGGCTGTTTGTTCCACAGGCAGCGAGGGTTCAACAAGCAGATCTCTGATATCTGAATTCATTCGACCACTCCAGATCAGTGGAGACAAACCCGAGCTCCTCTCCGTCAAGCCAACATTCCTCAGTCGCAGTGGAGCCAGCAGCCCAGCACGAGCTTTCCTCTCTGAGGTACCCGCCGGTGCCCACTCTGATCCTCCGTGGTCCTTTATTGAGTGTCTCTCTGTTCCCTTTCCTATCTGCTCTCCAAAGCGCAAAAGAAAACCACCAACAATTTAGACATGTCTGATCTGAGACCGATGACGAGCTCATCAGTTAAACTAGAGACTCTGGAGATGGAATTCTAGACATTGAAAGACAAAAGTCTTTGCTGCAAATCCGTACTGCAAAGTGAAACTGTGGTTTTCTCTGCATCACTGGAAACCCACAGCCGCAATAAAACCTTCCTGCTTATGGGACTGAGGTCTTTGTGCAAACAAGACTACAATGTAAACTGTTACAGCATTGCTCCTCAACTCTTTTGCAAGACATATTGTTGCTGGCTTTTGTTTTACTCACCTCAAAATATAGAAAAGCAGCATAAAACAGGATGTGGCTTCTTGGAAAACTTTTCACAGTAAATTCCAGCTTTGTCAATATTTGAAATGATAAAACCCTCAGACTTTTATAGATAGATAAATTCTGATTTAATTTATTGTAGCTGTGCAGGAGGCTTTTGCTGCTTTTTTGTCAGTGACATTAATTATTTATATTTGAGTTCTTGTCACGCACAGCCGTATTGCTCTTGGATCAGCATCTCTGTTTTCGGCTGACATGTCCCTTCCCATTTTTAAGTTAAGCATCAGTCTAAATGAACAGCCAACATGCCAACAAAGTAAATACTTTGGTAAAAATTTTTTTCGTCTACTTTTATTGTGTAAATCGTGCTAATTCTGGCCAATAGTGGATTTGTTAGCGTTTCAATACTTTTATTTTCTAGACATTTTTTCTGCTATCCATAAGTGCTGTGCAGTGAGCATTTACTTTAATATGTGTTACTGACAAAGAAAAGAGTGTGAAAGTCCACACACCATGGATCCATTAGGGTTGTTTTTTTGTTTTTACTTCTTCTCTGTCTAAAACTGTATTTCAATACAAATTGTCACCCATTACATAGCATATAATTGTCTCTAAATGTGTTTTTCTGGTTTTGAAGTGAAGGAGGGCTCACAATGGAGCAGAAAACATGATTATTTGTCTGTGATGCTTCTTCAGATGGACAAAGAGCTGAGCTCAACTACCAGGTCCAAACCACGTTTCACAGGGAAGGTCCGTCTGTGTGTTGCCAGATATAGGTAGGTGACACAGAAGACAAAGCTTCACCAGCCTTTCACAGTCCAGCTGTACAATTACACCAGATGACTGAACTTTTGTTCAGTCATTTTAGTTTTAATGAGAAACTTTTGCTTCCTAAACTCTCAGAATCTTAAACGTCGGGACGCCTCATAGAAAATGCTCATAGTGAACTAACTGCTTTATTAGTGTCAATCATGAATGACATGGGAATATTTGCAGAAGGTATATTTTCTGGTAATCCTAAATAAGAGTTAATTTTTCTTAAAATGATTATATACACAAATCAGGCAGAACATTATGACCGCCAAGAGGTGAAGTAAATGACACTGGTTATGTATTGATCCTGGCACCTGTTTGTTGGTGGGGTCTGTTTTGTCCTCCACATTTGTATCAAAGGCAATACAAATGGGATGCCTGATGGAGAATACTTGCAAATTTGCAGGTCTTGTCAGGTCGTCTGCAGTGGTCAGTCTATCCCAAGTGCTCCATGGAAGGATGAGTGATGTACTGATCAGACCAGTCAGAGTGTCCATGCTAGCCTTAATCTTGTGCCTGGTCATAAAGCAAACCAAGGCTTAAATTTATATAAACTAATTTCTCTTGTTCTATTATTTATGTTTAATATTCTAGTTACAATCCTTATGATGGGCCTAATGAGCACCCAGAAGCAGAGCTCCCCCTGGTGGCAGGGAAGTACCTCTATGTTTATGGAACAATGGATGAGGATGGCTTTTATGAAGGTTTAACACTCAATGAAATGTTTTTGTTTTTTCTACTTTGCCACACAAGAAATGCGTGACCATTTATTTTTATTTTTAATTTTTCAGGAGAGCTGCTGGATGGACAGCGGGGGCTCGTCCCATCAAATTTTGTGGAATTTGTCCAAGATGACGATACGCCATCTGCCCAAAACAGGAACACTACGGTTAAAGAACCAGGCTACCTCAACCACAGTAGCCTGGGGCCTCCGCGACATTCGAGCGGCACCGGAACAAGACCGAGCATAAGCAGCCTGCTCTCTGACAGTAAGCTAGACTGTCTAAGCACCAGCAGCTTGGGCATGGATCTCCTGGGCTCCTCCAGCAATGGGACCGGAACCTTGGACGTCAGTATTGATGAGGTCGGAGAAGACGTTGTGCCTTATCCCCGCCGCATCAACCTGATCAAACAACTAGCCAAGAGTGTGATTATTGGCTGGGATCCTCCTGTGCTGCCACCGGGATGGGGCCCAATCAGTGGCTACAATGTACTGGTTGATAAAGAGGTCCGGATGAGTGTCCCCTACGGGGGCAGGACAAAGTCCCTAATCGAAAAGCTCAATCTTGCCACCAACACGTACCGCATTTCCGTGCAGAGCATCACAGACCGGGGGCCATCAGATGAACTCCGCTGCACTCTTCTTGTGGGGAAGGATGTAGTGGTGGCACCATACTACCTGCGGGTGGACAGCATTACTCAGAGCTCCGCTGAGCTGTCTTGGATGCCCAGCAACAGTAACTACAGTCACACTATCTTCCTCAATGGTGCAGAGTATGACATGGTCAAGGCTGGGGGCTACAGGTACAAGTTTTTCAACTTGAAGTCCATGACAGCTTACAAGGTGAAGGTTGTCGCACAGCCACATCAGGTGCCTTGGCAGCTTTCAGGTGATCAGCGGGAGAAGAGGGAAATCTCTGTGGAGTTCTGCACTCAGCCTGCAGGTCAGTGTCTGACACGTAAACTCGCAGCATTGCTAAGCAAAGAAAATATCACTACCATACTGCTAAATGGCAAGTCGATAAAGGGGCAGTGTTATGTAATGTCAACATTTTTTAGCTTTACTTCATGGTAGAGAACGTTTTGCCCTGATCAAAACCAGGTCACAGGGCATGGAGTGTTGCTTCGATGCTTTCATGCATGCGAACCTCCCTTGGCAGCCATTCAGCTGTCCAAAACTCCTGGTTGGACAGAACAACAGCAGCACTGCAAACTCTTCGGTTTTTAAGTGTGCCTTACAGATCTGCAAAAAAATGACCAGTTCTAACACCTGAACTCGGATAGTTTGATGGGTGCTATCGAGACTTGCTTATCGAGAAGCGAGCTCTCCAAAGAGTTTTGAAGATTTTATGTTGTTTTTTTTTTTTTACTTCCCTTCTCACTGGGTCGTCGTTTATTCTAACGACCTCTGTGTTACACTGTATTTATATCTCAGGGAAAAGAATCGCACGGGTTACCAATTAAAAATTTAATTTACATATAAAACATGGCTTAATTCTTATTAGTTTCACTGAATTATTATGGGCCTCAACAATGTGTTGCTATTTCATTAGAAACAATTATTTATTAGCATGGGGATGCTACTTGCTACAAAACATATACCAAAATCAAGGCTTATTCCAGTGTAAGATTTTGCTAATGCAATAAAGGATGAATTTATTTTAAGGCTTTTTACGCATCTTCACCATTGATGTCTGCAATTACAATGCATGCAGAATAATCTAATCAGAAGGCTTCAGAGCCAGAGGTCATGACTGCCCAGGCATTGAAAACAGGACTTTCTTTCAGTAAGGCTTAGATCGCTCAGACTTTTCTACCACAGGGCTTTTCGCTGCATTTCTGTCACCAGCTGTCTGGCTGAGGCAAAGCTTTTGAGAGGGAACTCAATAGGAGGTTTCTTCTTCACGACCGCAATGTTTAAATTCAGCATAATCATTCAGACGCGTTGGTGCGAGTCGCTTCCCGAGGCAAGTAGGAGGTCAGCTTATTGTAAACACAAGACTATAGGACAGATATAAGTCAAGGCTGGCAGTTGGAGCTGCTATTTGTGCTGGCAGCTGATGCAGCTACATGCTGAGAGTTCGTTAACGGATCTATCCATTGGACGTGTTAATTAAAGCCACCTGAAATAGCATGAGTTCGGGTGGCGGAGAGCTGTTGTCGATATGAAAGACAATCTCTTGAAGCCCTATATTAAGCTTTTACGCCCAGCATGTGTTTTTCAAACAAGCCACTTCATTAGTGCTTAGTGATACAACGTTTTTGTCGATATTAGTCACCCGGAGCTGCAATTCATTGCCTGAAAGGGAAGCAACTGTGTGCCCGCTGGTTTCCAGAGTTAATGAAAGTGGCTGAAGGGACGTATTTATTTAAACTCTCATTTCAGTTTAGCGGAGGACCTTGTTGTTTATGATATTGGCAGCGTGAAAATGACAGGAGAAAATTGAATCTCCAAGCAGTCGCTCTTCCCCTCTTCCACGTCTGCATCGCCTGCTGGCGGGAAAAGCAGAAACATGATTAGAACGTGTGGATGTCGGCTGTCAGTCCCATCCTGAGACTCTCACAGCTGCACACTGATGCATGGAGATACTTCTCCACGACTGCCGCTGCTCACTTCCACTCCAGGTGAGCAGCAGCACTGCACAGATGGTACGTTATTTAGTATGCAGCCAGCGCTGACAGATTGTAGAAATTGCTAACTGTGTTTCTCTTTGAAAATTGTCAGCAAACCCTGGCAGCGAGATATCGTTTTCCAAAGAAATGAAGGTTGAATCGCGGCTAACTTGAATGATTTTTTTGTATGTAACAGCTGCAGTTGAAGTGAAAAAATTAAGGCTTATACAATTATGATTGAAAACAACAACAAAAAAACATACAGGACGAAACCCTAAAGCTTGAACTGACAATTGATTTTTTTACAATGTGTGCATTAGCATAGATACGAGAATATCCTGTAAAGTTGTTTTTGATTGTAATTATTTCAGACACGTCATTCATAATATTCTATTTAGAAGTGAGGGCAAAATATGTAACGACTGAATTAGTTTGCATTGGGTTTGATCAAATTGACTCAAATCTCTTCAGAGACTGTTGACCTTTAACCTGTGTGTGTCGTCCTCCTCAGGGCCCCCTCTCCCTCCCCAGGAGGTCCAGGTCCAGTGTGGCCAGACTCCAGGGGTCCTGCAGGTCAGATGGAAGCCGCCTCCGCTGACACCTTCAGGAACCTCTAATGGGGCTAGTGTAATTGGCTATGCCGTTTGCACAAAGGGACAAAAGGTACCTTTTTTTTCGTTAGTCTATAATGCAGGTCGTAGCGGCTGAGCTGCTTTAGCTTCCTCAAGGGTAGATCTCTGTTGCCATCTCCTGGAGGAATGACTAAATGTTGATAACCCAGTCTCTTGGGACCAGAAACAAAAAGGTATGAATCCACAGAACAGTCTCCATCAGTCCCTGCTGTGCTGATTAATATCCCCTTGACAGTTACTGGTTTGCAATTTGTGCACACTTGTCTGATAACCAGGAAGAGAATTTATTGGAAGCCACGACTCCAGGAGAAGAAAATCCATGAATTACATATGCTTATTGACTTTGAATGATGTGCTATAACTTACTGGGGGAGCGAGGAAAATCGGGAAAACAGAAAATTGTAAAATTCAACTCAATTGCTGCAATTCCCCTTTGCGCTGGTTACCTGTTTAATGTCCAAATTCTAAGATTCAGCCATCATAGTAGAATTATAAAACCTGCAAAAATCACAGATGGTTGAAAGAAAGGATAAGAGCTCTGGAAATGTTTGTCCATATTCTACTTTCTGTAGATATTCGGACCTGCCAAAAACCAGAATAGGCTTTTCCTGACTGTGTAAGAAACCCAGTGTTACATGATAGATAACTTCTGCTTGAACTTTAAACAACTGCCCTCAACAAGTTTATGGGTTTCTTTTTTTTGGCAAAATATCCTGTGGACTTCATTCCTTCCCATGCATCACTCTAGCTGTAAAGCGATCTCTCTTGATTGAACAGGAAAATATCAAGAGAGATCTTTTCCAGTTAAATCAGTTAAGTTTTATAAAGCCTGAGAATAAAAGTTCTCAGAAGGATTTAGAGTTTGGTAAAATTGTTTAAACGTATTCAATGACGCTGATAAATCAGTCATGCATTATTTATTTATTTATTTTTTGCAACATACAAATCTTTAATTATCTATTAGAAATGTGTTCTTTGAAAGCTGCAAAATGTGACTCACCCGCTGGTTTAAAAATTCTTCCTTTCAAATGCAGATAGCAGAGGTCTTGTACCCCACAGCCGACTATGTGAGCGTGGATTTAAACAGGATTCAAGGCCTGGAGGCCAGAGAAGTAATTGTAAGGACGTTATCAACCCAAGGAGAGTCCCAGGATTCGCCCGTGGCCATGATCCCACACAACCTCCTGGGCTCTCCGCGCCTCTCCCACAGAGTCACTGCACCTCCCCCTTCGATGCCCCATCCGGTGCCACAGCCTCATCCAGTACACTCCCAGACCCATCCTCCTTATCCATCGACATACCCCCCCAACCACCCCCAGCCCCAGGTGCAGCCTCTGCCCCGAGCTCAGCCCCACACGCTGCCCCACGCGCAACCGCACTCACAGCCCGTCTGTCACCCTCCTCCTCATCCTCAGCTCCACTTCCAGCGCCACTCCATACCCAAGTCGAAACCATTAATAAGTGCCAGAGAGCCAGAAACCAAAGAGCACGAGGTGGGCCTGCGGCTGGCCCAGCCGTGGGAGCGCGCCCCCTCTCCGCTGCCGCCCATGCACGGAGCCAACTTGGAGCCTCCGCACTTCCCACCACGGCGATCCCCCTCTCCTCAGAGGATCCTGCCACAGCCTCAGGGAGTCCCCATACCCAACACCATCGCCAAGGCCATGGCCAGGGAAGCTGCTCAGAGAGCGTTTGCTGAGGGCAATCGGGTGCGTGATCGACTCTGCAGAGCTGAATGTTTCATGGAGATTTATTGAGAAGTCCTTTACATTAGAGCATTTCAATAACTTCTTGTTCAAAATTATGCTCAGAAACATAGAACTCTATTTAAAGATGTGACTGTACATGTTTTCTCCATCGGCTCTCCTCTTTAAATTCTGATAGCGTAACGGTGCTGTTGGCAGGTCGAGAAGCGCAATATCTTCAGCGATCGAGGTAACGCCTTGCATCCACTCAACTCAGACGAGGAAGAGGACGGCTACGACTCTCCGCATGCGAGACGAAGAGGAGCCTCCGTTGACGAATTCCTCCGAGGCTCAGAGTTGGGCCGACAGGTACCTGTCAGAGATTCAAAGCTTTGCCCGTCCATCTCTTCTCTGCAGGAGACCCGTTTAATGACTCGCCTCTGGCTGATTTTTTTCGAAAGTTTTGTTCATTTTTGATTAAAAACGTGAAAATAGAGCGACACTTCCAGGTAGCACATAAAATACGAAACAATCTCAAATGCAGTCAGCTGATTTCACAGTGCGTTTCTTTTTTTAAATAAATCGCAAGATTTTAGTTGGAATTTCATGCTCCAATAACCTTGAACAAACTTCCAGAAACCTGCAAAGCAGCCAAAAACACTTGAGTTCCTTAAGCTCCTGTATTTGATTAATAAACAGCTGGAACATTGGTAAATATATTTGGTTTACATTTGCTTGATGATATGGATGATTTGACAAAAAAACTAATGTTTACTGCTTGCTTCATAATTAGTAACTCTTTTACCTTTTTATGGTGTTAATAACTACTTTGTTGCTGAAATATGCTATGAAAATAAACTTGACTTAACTATTGTGACCATCACATCTAGACTTGCATGCAACAGGTTAATAATGAAAAACTTTTACATCGAAAAAATGATCAAACTCGCATTTTATTTGAATGTAAAGGACAGATCACAAGTTTTTTATGTAGCATTTGTGCAACATTTTTATCATTTCTTTAGAGTTAGAGTTTAATGAACTTTACTTCCGTGTTGCAAAATCCACTTAAAGTCACGATAAAATGAAAATTCGACAATGGCTTAAAGGTTCCAAGAGTGAAATCTCAGCACATAGTTCTTGCAAAATATTTGTATGTCACTGAAAGTAAAAGCTTGACACTTTTCTCCTTTTATTTATTTATGTTTGGTTTGTCTAGCACCACCATCATCACTACAGCCACAGTGAGGAGTACCACACCGAGAGCAGCCGGGGCTCGGACCTGTCGGACATAATGGAGGAGGACGAGGAGGATCTTTACTCCGAGATGCAGCTGGAGGAGGGTCGCAGGCGCAGCATCAACTCTCACAGCACCCTTAAGGTACACATTTGACTGCACACACATGCCGTGGTCAGACGTTGAACAGTGTTTTTTTAGGGAGCTGTGGATCCATCGCCTGCGTTGCATCAGTGCAGTCGGTGACTTTGCCCGGCTGTCCTCTTCATGCCTAGAATCAGCCCTGCCTGCGGCGACACACCTTCTCTCTCCTGTCCTGCTTCATTCATCCCAGGCTGATCTCATGGAGATGGCTTTGCAAACATAAATGCAGAAAAAACAAAACATGCATGCGAGAAGTAGATGAGAGTGAACTAAAAGCACATGCTTTTTATGGTTTGCGACGCCCCGTGAAGCTGTTGGTAATGCACCCAGGAGCCTCTGAAAGTAATACAGTGAAATGCTGAAGTTATGAGACACCAGTGCAAACTATGATGTACTGAACTGTATCACGGTCATGGCATATCGAGCGCATACAGGAATCTCATTTAAGTGATTACTTAAATGGAAATTTTCACTTTTGTTTGCGTCCATTGTGTCTGGATGTCTAACTTCAGCGTATCCATTGCTGCCGTCCGATCCTGTCTCTTCATCCAGTCTGTGAGTGTGTGGATGCACAGTCTGTCATCATGATAAGAACATTAAGCCATGAGAGTCAGAGTCACTTCAGCAACTGAAAGCTTTAAGCTGAGCAGTCTTTACTTTTACTGCTACGGGAACTCAAAAATATTGAGATCTGGTTTCTTTTCCAGTCAGAGCACCAGTACCGTGTCTCATTCTGCCATCCTAATCTGCAATTAAGTTTTGTCCCATTGTTCATTCTCATTAAATACCTTTATTTTCGAATTTCTCTGTAAATATTGCTCCAGAACTAGGAGCCGATAAACGAGATGATTATTTTCCGTCTAAAAAAATATTTGTATATTTCATTTCGCAACCACATTCATCTTCTCGTTTGTCTCTGATCCGTGGTCCTGACTTCTTTCCACTGTTTCACGTTGTCCACGTCCGTGTTGTTCTTTTAAGACGTTGCTCCATCTTCGAGTCTCCACAGATTCCTGTTCAGAGCATGCCATTTCCTCTTCACGGAATGAGACTGCATGTGTTTCTACATTGCCACAAATAACTAATTCTGTCTTTATTTTGTCTTTTCCCCCCCATTTGTTCTATTCACATACTATGTTGTTTCCTGCCTGTTCTAAAACCTTCGAAAAACTTTCAAACTCCCCCAACCCATCGCAAAAAAAACCCCAAAAAACAAATCAAAACAAAATTAATAAATAAACTGAACCTTTTGAATCGAAACCTTGAATGAACTATAAAATCGTGGAACGTTACCTCCTGGTCATGACTTAGGCATATTACAAGCGTCAGGACTTAGCTGAAGAGAGAGACTGTTGGGATCTCCAGAGGGAAGTGGTGAAGCAGAGGTCGCTCCGCAGCAAGCGTCTCCACAGCATCCCGGAGGTGGCCGAGGAGGAGTCGGACAGCCTGGACAGCATGGGCCAGCATCTGAGCTTCGAGGAGGGCGGGCGGCCGGGAACGCCGCAGACTCAACGGAGGATGTACCCCCAGGAGGGCCACCACGTGCGCGACCACCTCACCCCGGGCAAGAACAGCCGTCTGCAGCGCCAGCGCTCCTCCCCTCGCTTCACCGACGGCCGCTACGGCTACAATGTGGACGACCGCAGCTACGGACGACCCAACCGGCAGAACACCAAGAGCCCCGACAGCGGCTTGGACTGCGGCAGCGAGGAAGAGGGGTCCCTGGGACGGGGTCACCTCGGGTATTACACCCACGGGAGCCCCATTCGGGGGCCTGTGCGCATCATCCACTGCGAGGGCCCGGTAGAGAGGCGGGCTCTGGCAATGGGCCGTAAACGAACTCTGACCCGTCAGTGCAGCGTAGAGGAGGAGTTCTCAGACGCCCCGGTGCCTGCAGCCAAATCGGTACACACGGGCGACTTTAGGAACAGGGAGCACATGGGGTCTGGTCGGGAGGTCGGGCCACGAAACTTCTCCAGGGAAGGAGCCCTGAGCGAGGGCAGGCTGAACGAGCTGGACAGGGTCTATTACAGCCCCCACAGGGAGGCTAGGACCCAGTCTCTGTCCAGGCTCAACCGGGACCAGCCGCTGGTGTGTGAATCAGAATTTCTGCTGTATTTTCTATCAGCAAGCTGCAACCTTTCTTTTTAATTTTATTTTATGTAAGCTCCCCCCTTTTTCTTTATCTTTTTTTTGTTTGAGTTTGCCTTCTTGTTTTTGATTTCTAAACGAGATGTCATGTTTCATGGTTGGTCTTATTTGATTTCCTGTTTTGTGTGAATTACTTTGTTTGTATTCAGAACGTCAGCTGATTTTGGAGTAGCGTTTTTAATTACCTAAAGGCCATTTTAGGTTTTGATTCCTCATGTCTTTGCGGGGAAAGGCTCCATTTGAAGGAAGGTCTCTGTGCAGTGCATGGGGGACGTGCTGCTCATGCCTTTTCTTGCTTGCCTGTGCCTTCTCTCTGCCAGCTGCCGCCTTCATATGTTGCTGTTTTCGTCTCTCTCACGAGAGCTGCAGCCATAGCGCTCCATCTTTTGTCTGGAGTTTTATGTCAGCATCTCTCGCCCTTCATTTCTACATGGGGGGGGGGGAGGCTTTGTCAAGGATTATGTTTCCTGCAGGATTTAATTTTCAGTCCATAAAAATCATCTCTTCCTAGAGATGCACCCGTCAGAATTTGACAACCAATACTTTCTCTGGTTTTTTTGTAAAAGTTTGACCTGCTGGTACTAACCAGTTCTGATTTCTACTTATGAAATCTCTTAAAACTGTATACACCCTTGTTACAATGGTAGCTTTCTGCGATTTAAAAAAAAATGACAATTTTATTACGAATTTTAATGTTACCTTTCCATATAATAATGATATATATATATATATATATATATATATATATATATATATATATATATATATATATATATATATATATATATATATATATATATAGGTGTGTGTGTATATAAATTTTAGTTTACATTTCAAACCATGTTTAACACCTGGCATCAGTGAATAACATAGTTAGCTTGTTAGCATCACTCAAACAGGTGCTTGAGTATCGTCAACACTTTTACCTCTCCATCAGAAGTGATTTTGTTCCTTTGCAGAAGTCAAAAGATCAAAAGGAGAAAAAAAGAGTCACTTTCCTGGCTTCCTGTTATCTTAAAGTGTGGCTCTCTTTCTCTCTCGACCAGAAATGACCACAAATTCTTGTTACTTTCGCTCAAATGCTAGTTTCCTTTTGGAGACGTCCTTGCATCTCTGTTCATCCTCTGACACCAAACGGCTAGCCCTACTCAGTGTGGTCAGTGACTGTTGGGCTCGGAAATGGTGTGTTCACGATTGAAAAACGGTGGGACATTTGACTTTCCGAAGCTCCGTTCACCGGTCACGGCTGGTCAAGCTCTAAATTGCTCAATTCCAATCAGTCTCCAGTTTGTCGGTGCATCTCTACCTCATGCTTGTGTCTTTTACGTTGTTCAGTTAAGCAAAAACAATCCTCATAACTTTCTCATATATCCCATGTTGTGATTTTTGTGACAACGTCTTTATTCATTTGTCAGTCAGTGTCGCTTTTATTTCTCTCATCTGTATCATTCCAACCTGTTTTTTTTTTCTCAGTCATTTGCTTAATTTTCTCATCGAGAAGATGACATGCACAGAACAAAACAAACCAAATTAATGGTCTTTAGCTTCACATTTAACCCTAACTGAATTTGAAGTCCACATCCTTGTGTTTGGGGTTTTGCTTGCTTTAATTGTTTTAATGTTGGGTTAATGGATTTCTTTGTCATTTTGTTATGATTTTTACCTCCCTAAGGACAAATGGAAGACACATCATTTGCTCTTATGGGTTTTTTTTTTAGCTTGTTTGGTTTTTTTGTTTGTTTTAAAGAGATTGTGGAATTGTTCTTAGTTATTTTGAATGTTTTGTTGTCTTGATATTGTTGTACAATTCTGATACCTTATTTCTTTATTTTTTGTGTCCTAAGATTATTGGGAACTCACCGTCACACGGAAGCCCCGACCGCCAGGACCACTCAGGGCGGAGGCCGGTTCACATCGGCACCCCTCCGCAGCGACGACCCATCCCATCCATTGGTTAGTGAGGTCATCACATAAGGATCTCCACCTGCAGGGCGACTGATGTTTGTAGTTATACCATGTGTCCCCCCCGTCCCCCAGCAGATCATCTCCCCCGTAGAGCTTTAACAACATACAGACCCTTTGTTTTTGTTGTGTGTTTGCGCGCCCCGTAGAAGTCCATCCTCATGAGCCGGGTTCACCAAACGTTCACACGAGAGGTTATGGCAGACACACTCTCTAAGCCTTGTTTTTCTTTTTTCTCCCCCCCCTTTTTTGTGGGTTAACATGTTCACATGACCACCCCATCTGCCCTCAACGCAAACATTGCTGTTTTACACCCGTAGACTCCAGAGTGAAAACCTTCGTCATCCTACTGTCTCAGCATGAGTGAATGGGCCGTGGTTCTGAGCGGAGTGTGTGAGTGGGGGGATCTCTGATCATAACGTTGTGATTGGTGTCTTCTGTAGAGATCACCATGGACAGTAACAGTGAGGGGAGTGAGGGGAACCTCTCACCCGTCAAGGAGGATGTTTACTATGGCAGTGTAGCTCGGCGCAGGATATGGCGATCTTTGTCCTCAGACGATCAATATGGTATGTGGTGCAGCTTCTCCTCAAGATGGCAACTCACCATAACATTTGCCAGACAAGGCCAAGAATCCCTAACGGAAACAAGCAGTGGTGTCATAATGGCCTTTATTCTGTGCAGGACAGTTAGCTGCTGTGTTAGCATAGCTTAGCTGAATAAAGCTAACTGGGAAAGATTGGCTACTTTTTTCCCTTTGCTGGAGAATGACAATCCCTTTCCTGTTTGTGCCCCTGCACCTGTAATCCCCACGAACCCTAACACGCCAACTCCTCTTTCACCTTCCATAACAAAGCAACTCTCCACCATAAGACAGTGTACCTCCTCCTCCCCTCTACAGCAGCCATCACCTTTTCCTTCTCCCCCCACCATTATAGGGGAGCAGATAGCTTCTTGTGTTCATTTTGCATGACCTTCCCCCCCTTTGCTCCCCTTTTACAAAACAGTGAGAAGGAAAGCCGGTACTGAATGAATTGCTTCGACAAACTCAATTGTGCATCCATTAACGCCGCTGCCATCTAAACACAAAGACCATTTGGCATCTCCCACACGTTTTCAAACCTCAGTTTTCAAAGTTACGAGTTAGTCAGACTTCCAACCTGCCATTGAAACATTTAACATGGTGACCCATGAACTGCTTGAAAAAACTGATATCAGGTTCATCCCTTCCCCCCTCACTGTCCCTGATATCTGCGTTGCCAGGAACCACCGGGGCCTTCGATTTTATTTTACCTCCCACCAGAGCACGCCACATCCTGCCGCCTGTCCTCTGCTGCATGTTGCTTTTAGACGTGGCCTATGTGCTTTACATCATGCCTGCATGTGGCACAGGAATGCTCCTTCTGTTACATGTAGTCCCAGTAAAAAAAAAAAAAAAAAAAGCGTGCATGTCGATCAGCCTCTGTGAGATAAGGCAGTGAAACAGCAATGAACAGAACTGCAGTGTTACTGGTGTCTTGATGTGTCCATTCCCTTGCACCCCGAAAAAAAACTGCTTGTTTTCTGTGTGTTTGTGCTGTAAGCGTGCTTTGTGGTGTTTTGGTTACTGACACACCAGCAAGCGAAGATGTGTGAACCAAGAACCTTGATGTGTTTTTTGCTTTTCTTTTTTTTTTCCTTTCTTGAAAGTAGTTATCTGTAAGTGTCTGAACACAACAGGGGTTTAATTATTCCAAATGGAAACGAATAAAAGCTTCATTACGGCATTCGACCTCTGGCTCTTTCTTCACACGTCTCATTACCCTGTCCCCGTCCCCCCCCTCCCCGTCAGCCACAAAGACATATGTCCTGCTCTCGTTGCCTCTGCAGCCCGTGCGGCTGTATAAGGCTGGTAGTAGCAGCAGAGGCCTCCTCTGTGTTTCAGACGGCTACGGCGGACGCAGGCACGGCCGGGGACGCCAATCCCCGGATTATTTCGAGGAGTCCGAATCGGAGGACCTGACCAGAGTGTTTGTGGCTCTGTTCGACTACGACCCTTTGTCCATGTCTCCCAACCCGGACGCCGCCGACGAGGAGCTGCCGTTCAAGGAGGGCCAGATCATTAAGGTAGCGGCTTCATTCTCCACATGTTGATCAAACTTGTTTTTGTGATTTGATGAGGCTTTACGTTTCAACGTTTTCTTGTGAAATTCGATAGTTTTTTTGCGTGTTAGTATTGGATAAGTGCATAATGAATTGACGCCGATTTCCTTAATTTGGGAGATTGGTGATCGGCCACCGATCTTATTTGCCTCGGCAAAAGTTTTAAAAAAAATCAGTATCGGCCAATGTCGGAATCGGCGGGTCAGTCCCACCTGGCACTGGGATCAGACTATTTATCGAGGGTCCTAAGTTGTAGAAATCAAGGCCCAGGTTGTAGAATGAGAAGAGACCCAAGTTTCTCAGTGTCCATTGTGAAGTTTCCACAACCTGTGATGATTTAAGGAGCCATGACCTCTGCTGGTGTTGGACCACTGTGTATTATCAAGACCAAAGTCGGAGCAGATCATATTTTTTTCCTCCAAAGCACCATTTCCTGTTTTAATCACCACTAGATCACTGCAACAAATGAACTTTTAATATCGCAAATTATTAGGTTGAAGAATTCAAAGATTTTACTGCTGTAGATAGGCGCTTTATCCGCACCGACTTCTCTGTGTTACCTCTTCTTTTTAATGCCACCTTCCAAACAAATCTGTTTTATGTAGGTATTTGGCAATAAAGATACGGACGGATTCTACAGGGCGGAGATCAGAGGTCGTGCGGGGTTGATCCCCTGCAACATGGTCTCTGAGATCCAAACAGAAGACGATGAAATGATGGACCAGCTCCTCAAACAGGGCTTCCTTCCACTGAACACACCTGTGGAAAAGTTAGGTGAGATCGATGTTGGTTTTCTGTGCTCCGCTGCTATCTGGCCGACTCGACGCTGCTGCCAGCTCGCCTTTTACTGACCGAGCCGCCTTTTATTTCCTCTGTTATTCCAACCTAAGTATAATTTTCTTCTTTCCTGTGAAGTGAACTGCGACCGTTTTAAAGATGGACGTTCAATAAATCGCAGGTCCAGAAAGTCCAAAAGAGGTTTGTGCGCACTGAGACACTCCTCTGCCTCTTCTGTGCTACTTCCCCCTCTCCTTTCTGTTTCCAATCATTAAATTCCTCCTATATTGGCTGCTTCACACTGCTGCTGACTAATATTTCACCTGATCATGTGATGTTGTTTCCTTTAATGTAGTTTGCTTCTTTTTGGATATATATAAAAACAAAGAAGCATAGTTTTTTTTTTGGCACCTGTGTTGCTTCCATTTATTAAAACTTTTTGCAGTGCACAGACCTTTGTGTGTTTTATGTCAAAACTGTATTCTTTTGCACGGCTTAAAAGTATGAAAAAATTCATACATCAGACAAGAGGGCTAGCATATCCTTCATTTGGCAGGTATGTCATGAATAGCAGGACTAAATATATTGCATTATTCAACAACCTGATCTATTTTCTTAGAAGCAATTTTTAAAGAAGCGAGGGGGAGGCAGCTCAGCGGTGATTCAGTGAAAACATATATCACACCAGAGTGGGAGAAGCGTCGACGTCCCCAAAAGCGAAACCTTTACATTTTCTCACTCTTGTTCTCCACAGAAAGAAACCGACGGAGCGGCCGTCAGTATCCGATGTCGACACGGAGGATGGTGGCCCTGTACGACTACGACCCCCGAGAGAGCTCCCCGAACGTTGACGTCGAGGTAGCCATCTTCTAGAACATCACGGCTTTTTAAAAACTTCTTCTGTTCGACATGAAAAGCAGAGTGTGGGAGGGGGAGACGTACAGGAAATGAGAAAGTGTCATTTTATTTGCATGTTTTAGTTCACAACTTCAAGACAAATATGTTAGAGAATGTCATGTTTATGTCTCTTTGTTGGGCTTCTTTGCATATAAAAGCAGATAAATGTAACCGTACTCCTCCCTGGCTGATGACGAACGGCTACGCTGCTACATGTGTTTTCTGACAGACAGAGCGTACGTTCACAGCTGACCCAGGCGTTGACCTCTGTAGTTGTACTTTGGGTATTGAAAATACTTTTCCCATGCTGTTTCATTTGGCCCCTCCCTCTTGGTTTCACTCACTCTCACCTTTCTATTGGCGCTGCCACCGACTCAGTATGAAGGCAGCAGACTGAATGAGGAGGTGAGTGAGGGTTGATGAGGGTACGCTACCATCTACTGTGTGTGTGTGTGTGTGTGTGTGTGTGTGTGTGTGTGTGTGTGTGTGTTTCCTCCCTTGATTGTTGAACTACAAAGAGTTTATGACAGGTCCTTGTTGATCATAATTACCCCCCGCCCCTCCCTCCATCCCTTCATGCATCTCCTTCGGTTTGCTCTTTTGTGTGGATCTTTCTCTTATGTACTTTATCTGAGACGTGTTTGGTCTGTGTGGTCCCGTCGGCCAGGTCCGACAAAAGCCTGTTTGCGATCCTGTCTTCAAGTTCCAACATCTGATGCATTTGCACACGTGCAGTGGTCCATTCACTGAGGCTGAATTGACAAACTTTAAGATGCATCACATTGATTTGGAGAAGGAAGCACAACATTTCAAACTCATCGAACCCCAGTAGACTTGCTGTTTCTCTGAGCGTCTTAGAACAACAACAAAAAAAAAAACCCCGGCGTCTGCTGTCAGTGTGAGGAGCAAAAGGTCGACGCTATCTCAAAGTTTCTTCTTTTTCCCCGACAGGCTGAGCTGACTTTCTGTGCCGGCGATGTAATCACAGTTTTTGGTGAAATAGATGAAGATGGTTTTTATTATGTAAGTACTTCATAATTTTAACGCCTTGCTGTCAAAAACAACAACAACAAAAAAACACACACACACACAAATTGATGTCTACAATTTTCTTCTAGACTGCTAGAGTTTTTGTTTTAGATTTATTGAAAATTTCATCGCTAAGTCAGCGTCTTGGTGAAAATACAGCTCTCGAGTCGCCATGGTGACCGCTGTGATGTGTAGCAGTGGGTTGTTTTAATATAAAGCCAGTCCAATAATTGATCAATCCGTTCTGAAGGATGATTCATTTAGATGCTGTCTCCTGAGACATTTAAACAAGTGAATAACTTTTGCATATTTTTTTTTTTTACATTAATAAAGTAATTTTTCCCAATTAACCACATTAAGGCCAATTTCCTAATGATCTAATTGAATGAGAGGAAACCAATATTAGCACAAATATTCAAACAATTTAAATTAGTAGTTGCTACAAAAAAAAAAAAAAAGGTAAATAGTTTTGACTAAATGTAGAAACTCAACCTGATCAGGTGACTTATGAAAAGATGTTCACATGTTGTGTTAAAGTGAAAATAAGAAGAACAAAAAAATTGAGCCACATTGTTAAACTCAAGAATCTATGAACTGGAGCAAATAAAACACAATATCAGGGAATCTCTTTGCTGACAAAATAACAGGCTGACCATTCACAGTCCTGGAAAAACGCTGATTTTATTAAAAAGCAACACAAAATAAACTTTGGGCACTTTTCCTCATTCCGTGAATCCGGTTTAGAGGTGATTAACTTATTTCACGTGTTAAAACCAACAGTCTATATTTAAAAAGGTTTTCATTAGTAAAATATAGTCCAGAGAAAGTCGTTGAATAATTCGTATGATGTGCAAAAAAAAGTTGTCATTTTGGGTTGGCTTTGTTTTTCCCCCCCCTTTATGGTTCATGACACGAAAAAACACGCTCCATCATTTGCGGCACTTTATTTTATTTTGTGTCTGCTGTTGTCGGAAAACATTTTCTCTGTTTTGAGTCTTTGCCGTTTCTTTCACCACAGAGCAAAAACAACTGACAGTACGAGAGCTCCGATTCCACATCTTGTTGTATATAAATTTTGAATTACATCCGCAGCCGTTTCCCATCTCGCCTTTTAAGCTCCCTTTAAAGTCACCGCGTCAGAAATGCGCAAACGGTCGCGGAGGCCGGCGTTCCGGGCGGCCGCCGTCTAACCGCTGCTGTGTGCTCCGCAGGGCGAGCTCAATGGACACAAGGGGCTTGTTCCTTCCAACTTTCTAGAAGAAGTGCCTGATGATGTAGACGTTTTTCTCACTGACTCCCCATCTCGGTATCCCCAGGACACTCCGGCGAGGATAAAGACCAAAAGGGTACATGCTCCTTCGCAGTACTAGCCCCTCTGTCATCCATTTACTCTTTTCTGTTCCCTCTATCTCCTTCAGTTCCCTGTCTGTGAGTGTGCGTCTCTCATTGGTTAAAAAAGGGATTTCTCACTTCAGAGCATTATACTGTAAATAAATAGATGTTTAAAGTCTATGAGGAAAAAAAAAGAAAAAAGACAACAACAACAAAAGAGTAAACTTTACAGAGGTACTTTTATTTTTCATTTTTTACTACCGTGAAAGGGTGTGCATTGTGTGATCAATGGAAATACTGTATTCATAAAGCATTCTCAGAGAGAGCGAGCCCAACAGACACACACTCCCCTCCTGTGACTTTTTACCCGTGTCTCGGAAAAAAGACGACAGCCAACCCTTTTTTTTTTTTTGCACACGCCCGTGTAACATTCTACCAGATGCTTTATGAATATATTCTGTGTTTGACCTGATTGATTTCTATTAGAGTAAATAGTTTTGTTGTACTGAAAGATGATCTATGTGGTCTGTAGCTCAGCATGGTATAATAGTCCAGATGCATGACCCCCCTCGAACATTTTATAAAGAAAAGGTTTCAACTCTAGCATAGTACGACTTTTTGTATCTACTCCTGAATGCCTTGTTTTGTAAATTGCTTTCTTGTAAAGTAGCGAGCAAAGGTCACTTAGCTTATGTTACCAGACAAGAGGATCATTTCAGACGTAATTATTTGCTAAATGTAAAAATTGTGACGTTGATTTCTTTGTGTTTAACAAACGATGCAACTGTTCCAATATTTATAGGTGTCATTAGATATTTCTTTCCACATGTTGTACCTTGCCATTTTCGTAGTGCTGACTATCGAAATGCCATCACCATATATACTTTTTGTTTTTTACTTCTTTTCTTCACCTGCTTGGCAAAACAGAAGAAGAGTGTTCATTTCACACCTTAACGGCTCTGTTTCCGTCACGTAAGTGAGCAACTGAGGATACCAAGGTTACGTTCTCCTCATCTAACGCAGATGACTGGGGTATGCTTAGTTCCTGGTACGGACCACGTGCGGCCTTCATTCTTTTCTGGACTTGTACCGTTCCCGGATGGTTCAGCGGACATCTTCGCTTCACCAAAACAAACAAACAAAAATTGCTTTTTTTTCTTTTACACGGGCATACTTACCCTCGCCAACGCATTAGACAAGGAGTGTGGTATCTTCAGTTGTTTCTCTGAGTGTTGTACATTACAATGTCCGTCTCCTGCAAAAAAAAAAAAAAAAAAAAGTCTCCTGCTGTAACTCATGATATGCTGAAAGGCCATTCTTGCACAATTGCACTGTAAACAATGGCAAAAAAAAAAAAGAGAAAAAGTTGGGATTAAAAGAACAGCAAATAATTTGACTTCTGACAGTGCAGTAAGGTAGAATACAAGACCTAAGTAAAACTTGTCCTGATAAAAATCAAACATTTTATTTTTTAATTTTATTTTATTTTTTTTGTGGAAGCAAAGTTCTGGAAGCGTCTAAAAACAAATAGTCTTTTCTCTGATTTACTTGAAATGCACGTTTCTGTTCAAAGTGGAAGGCCTCTCTGTTTTCGGTGCATTCTTGTCCGTAGGAAATTACACACACAGGAGCCGCTTGTCCTTAAAGGACTCCACAGCCAAAGCAGCTATACTGTTTGATGAACACTTTGACCAACATGCAGCGTTAGACACGTTCTCAGATTCAATAGCTTTTTTTTTTTTGACACATTATGCAGATACTCTTTTAGAGATGAGCAAAAAATCTCATAAAATAAACCACAACATTATTTTCCGACGTGGCGTTTTGTCTTGTTTTGCAAAAGTCCGTCGCTCAAATTCTGCAAATCATAAAACCGACGGCGATGAATTGAGCTTCTGCTTCAGAGACGTGGCTTCTATCTATATGCAACGCAATAAATCTCGACTAATTTGCTTTTGGCGTCTGAACCCACTTGTAATTGAATACACGTCTACCTAAGGAAAGGTAATGAAATAAGAAAAGAACTCTGGAAATCGTGTTCATTTATTTTTTTATTTTTTCAGAATTTCCATATTTTTGCATTTTTTATGAAGAAAAATAAACTGACGTCAAATCATAGCGAAACCGCTGTTGCTGAGGAATAACACTGGACGTTAAAATGCCTTTTTGTGGCAAAAAGGCGTCCGATCAACAGAACCAGAAGTTTCATTCATTTCTATTTACTGCACTGCAAATTGGAGTTCGCCTCGACGAACGTTTCCTCTTCTGAAGCGCAATTGAAAAGAGGCTTTTAGCTCATGATTACAGAACAGTAATGGTGACTAGTAGTATCTTTGTATCTCAGTTGTACCAGTATATATTTATATTTAAGAGGCAAGAAAGTGAATGTGATATCAATATGCCCCAAAATGTAAATCTGTTTGTTCTTTCATAGTTTTTTCTTTCATTTTTTTCTTCTTTTTTTTTTGAGAAAATCTCACCTTTATGTGAACGTTAGTTAACTCCATCCTCAAATTGTGCTGTGTTTCTATAGCGACATCGACAATAAATCTCACCTGGCAGAAGGGGGGGGGGGGGAGGGGGACGTTTGTCCAAGTGCACAGCGCAGCGTCCAGGGAGGTAGACTTAAGAGCTGTATGGTGGCCCTGCAGAGACAGAAAGGACTGAAGAGAAGGTGGGGGGAGTAGTGACTGTGGTGTGAGAGACGGTTGGCTTTTTAACACCCTCAACTGTCCCTTGCGGGTCTTCCATTAGGTTCCTTCGGACAAATCGGGTCCGCACAGAAGAGCGCCCTCTCCCACAGTGCGTCCACACATCCTCGACTCTGGCCCCGCCACCGTGGGGCCCGGCAGTCCCTTCAGGGCCCCTATGGACATATGCTCCTCCAAAAAGAAAAGGGGACTGCTCTCCAAAGGGAAGAAAGTATTACAAAGACTCGGCACTGTACGATAAATTTTGGAAATAGAGGCATCCACTTATATTGTAAAACAAAAACAAAGGAAAAACGGTGCACAGGTGGCATTTGCGAGCTTAGCAAATGTTTTATTCTTTTACATCTGTTATGTTTTAGACTATTTGTATTTTGTTATGGGTTCAAACTCCATATTTTCAATGCCGCATTTCATATTATGGGCCCATGACCTCAAATGTTGGAAGACATATTGTGCTGTGTTGCGTACCTCCACGTCTCCGGCTGGTTGCGAGGACGGAGCCCTGAGCGCTCTGCACACGCGCAAAGCCTTGCATTTTATACAAAAAAATTGAAAAAAAGAAAAAAAGGTCACACAGGTCAGCGTTGTGTCTGCATTCAGAAAGCAGAATGTCATGAAGAAAAACGAGGGCTAAAATCACAGCTTGGAGTTCTTATTGACTTAAACGCAACACGTGGAGCGTGTGGATCGGAGCTGGAAGAGAGCAGCCAGTTGAAACATGAGGTTTACGTGCTTTTTACTTCAGCACATTCCCTCCTGACTCCCCCCTGCAGAGCACACATGAAAAGGTGTCGGGCTCGTTGTTCGAAGTTGGGGCACCCGGCATACGGACAAATCAGCAGAAGGGAAAAAAAAAAGAAAGTCTCTCTTCTGCTCCATTTCAACAGCTGTGGCAGTGGCATGCCTCTTCTCCCCCACAGACTTAGAAAACAAGCACATTCTGTATCTACTACAGGGCCTCTGCAGTAAAAACCCGTTGATGAAACCTCCATGTATTTGCCTTATAATCGCACAATGGTTAGTGATATGTCGAGCAGATGTTATTCCTAACTTGATATGCAGGGTGAGTCCTGTTTTCTACAGCGCTGTCAGATTCCCATATTGTCGTTTAAAACTACAACTAAAAAAAAATCCTCCCTTCATAGCAAATTCTAGATTAGAGTGAAGTTGTGCCACCATATTGATGCAGTGCAAAATAATAGGATTAGTTTGACAAACTCTTAGGTTTTTTTTTTTTTAAATATTAGCACTAACATCGTTGTGCAGCAGCTGATTTTCTGCATGCAACCGTTGGACTGTACGTTTTAGTTACTCAACAGCAGTAAACTATGAGACACAAGGCTACCTCTATGCTGCCCTTCCCATCTCTCCAACTGTGTTCTTTCACACCAGTCTGTCAATGATGCCTGTTGTCTGTCTCAAATTCCATTGCTGCAAGATACAAGTACTGTATGTCAATATATATTCAGATATCTACACCTTAATGTAGTGAATGTACGAAGAATTGAAAGCCAATGTATTATCCGAGCTGCCCAAACAGGATTGTGCAGACGTCCAGACTTTGTGCATGAGCTGATCAGTCCGTCTCCTCCCATCTCCTCGTACCGTTTCCTCCCATTTCATCCAGCACATTTAAAGTTGACCCTGTTTTCTACATACAAGAGTTAAACTGCCAAAAAAAGGAAAAAAAAAAGAATGTATGCAAAACATTCTTTCTTACAATTTTCGGCCAAGCAGCCATGATAATCTGCAGCAAACTGATGATCACCCGTTCCTCTTTATGGACCACTTCCAGACATTGCTTTTATTTGAGTGACTGCAACTCTTTTTGTACTTTGTCCATTTGTAAAATTGTTTTTAAATGTTTATACTTGATTTTCAAACTGCCTTTTTTGTACATTTAAATTTCTTATCAGACAGTGCAAGCTTTCCCCATGGTGTCTTTAAGAGCATATTATGTCTGCAATCGTGTGCTAGCTTTCTGAGAAGAAATGATCAGCCTATACTGATGGTTACAAATTATTGTGTGGGTGTGCATGTGCAATCTTTTTTAAAAAGATAAATAAATTTAATATTTTTAAATGCTTGTGTTTTGTCTTGAAATGACAGATTACAAACACCAAAGTGTCTGAACATTTATTAAGAACCACCAACGTCATTCTGAACTGTACTATTCTAACAGTATTTTTTTAACACACAAAAAAACAAAACTGTGTAACTAAGTTACACATAATATTCAGGACCACATACAAATGGCTTTTTTCTAACAAAATCACACACTTTTAAAGGAAACTCGAGTGAGTGACAAAAGAAAAAAAACAAAAAAAACAAAACGGTCCTTTAAAGATAGAAAAGGTAGTCGTCAAGCTTGACGCTGGGCTGCTTGTGAATGCTCTGCCCAACCAGGAAAGCCAGTTTATGGCCGTATTGGCAGGGAGCAGGAACACGGATGATTCCCTAAACAAGAGGGAAAATCAAAAATGAGCGCCAAGAACAAATCATTTCTGACATATTCAAAAGATTAATCGTATGCAAGATTTAGCATGAGCTTCATTACATTGTAGGTGGAAGAATATATCATGTTTGGGGAGATTGTTTAAGCCGTAATTACCTGAACCTGGAATAAATGGGTTCAGGTTTTATCCAACTTAAGATATATAGGTTTAAGCTAACATGAGAGATCTGAATCAAAGCTTTAGCTGGCAGGAACACCCAAATGAGTCATCTCTTTTTGAACTAGCCTTGACAGAAAAAGTTGATTAGGCTGAGAAATTATTTCAACTATCAGGATATTTCTCCCAAAAATATCCAATTATCATTTCTCCTGCTGAAAAAACCCTTTAATCCAGCCCACCTGCCAGTTGTAGTACAAGTGACAGAGCTTGTACGTGAGCCGCTGCATGTGGTCCGGCTTCAGTCCGCTGGTGTCGTAGACGACGTTGTAGTGAGTGGGTGAAACGCTTCCGGATCTGACAGACTGGCTCACGATGTAGAAGTCGTACCTGGTGGGGAGAAAAGTACGGCGGGTTTTATTTTCCAACTACAGCATCAACACATGCCTAGAAGGACAGTTAAAGCTCACCACTCAGGACGGGTGACCTCTGTGTCAATGACGGTGCCCGGAGGTGGGTTGGTGAACTTGTCGCCAATCATGGTGAAAAACCTGCTGCTGATGCGCTTCTTCACCACCACCACACTCAACTTGGGCCTGCAATGAGATGAAAACACCAAGAACGCAGGTCAGGTTTTAATGTATACAGTAAACCAGATAAACCAGTTCTGTGAAACTGGTTTATCTTATACCATTCCCTAAAAACTATGTAGGAACCTTGATACATTAGTTCAGAGGAAGCCACTGTATAGTATCTCCAAATGAACAATGCATTAGCTTTTGAGAAAATCTTTTTAGCCAATAAACTTACTCATAGTTTTCCCCCAAGGACTTGATCGAGTCCATCATCTGAGCCACCTCGTAATTGACGACACTTTGCAACTGGCCGTCTCCTACTCCATCCCGATACACAATGATGCGAGATGGCAGGCAGTTATTGAACTTCAGGTAGTCTTTCAGGGCACCTGGGTGAAAAAGGGCAGTCTTCATTTAAGTATACAAGTTTTATAGAATACAAATGAGTAATGTAGAAAGATGTTGAGCAGAAAAAAAAGAAACTTACCAGTCAGGGCCATTTTCAGTCCATCCATTATTTCCTGACCTTTGTGCTGCAAGACACACTTTGAGTACCATCTAGAAAAAACAAGCATAATGCCACTAAATGACTGAATGCAAAGACTAAACAACATATTCAATGCCATCGAGTGCAAATGTTAAGTCGAATTGAATCATGTATATGACAGGGCTGGATCAGTGCTAACCTGCTCATGGTCGGGTTGAGGCTTGCCACCAGAGCGCCGATTGACCGCTTCCCAGCAGACGTGTCATGGTAGCAGTCAATGCCCACAATCATCAGCTGTTTGAGCTGCATGAACCATTTTGGTCATTCAGTGAAATATTTAGATCAAATGTTAATGCTAATCTTAAACACAACCACTTTTACCTAAAACTAAGAAACATTACAAATTAATAATGTTTCTGAAAGGAAAAACCATAAAACCCATCAACATGAAGAAATAAAGACACAGGGATGTCTAAAAAGTTCTTGGACTTACAGGGATCTCCACACTCCACAGCTCTCCTCCCATTTTGCAGGCCATCTGCAGGGCAATCTTCGTTGCCACGGTCATGAGCGCCTGGGGTCGGCTGAGTGTGCGGGCCATCACGCACTGGCTGGGAGTCGGACAGTCCACACAAAGGTACTTCTTAATGCTGTCGTACTTGTCCTTGTTGCTGTTGGGAAGGACAACCACCACCTAGAAATTATAATTACAAAAATCAAGTTAGAAAATGGAAAATTATTTAGCTATTCAAGTCAAAGACAAAATATAAATGTTCGAATGAAGATTTTCGCATTTTTAAATTTGTATCAATGAGGGTTTAATGGAGCAGTATTGTGCTGTATAGTTGAGGCAAAAACTTTCACATTAAAGTTATTTACAGTCTACATAATGGCAAATTATGTAGACTGCTATTTATTTATTAGACTTAAAAAGTAAGTCTAATAAAAGAGTATTTAAGAATATGGGTTGTTGTTGTTGTCTGTAGTCATAGTATATTCTCTGCATTCAGGCCCATTCAATAAATAGCAAATATCTAAGATCCTCTAATTTCCTCTGTGGGGTATTAATAGTTATATCTTATTCCAGAACAAACCATTTGAGTCTGTTGTCCCACGTTGTGCTGCAGAGCTTTGAGGAGAGAGAGCTGATTGTCTTCAAACTCAACACTGTATAAGAAGGAAAACCAGGTTAAAATAAATAAGAAATTAAATGGTCTTACTTACCTTGCAACATTTTAATAGTTCAAAATCTAGTTTATTGCCACCAAAATTTAATTGCTATTCCACAACGTTTTAGAGGGAACAAAATGTGATGGATGGAAATCTGGAGTAGAAACATTTACACAGGGTTGCACTCACATCATAGGCCTTTGCATCCGGATGCCGATGGGCCCGGAGACTTTGTGCAGGGTTTGCAGGAGGGACTGCGCTTCATTACTGTTACGGCGGGAGTGGAACACGACCCAGTTGTCCAGTGGAGGAGCGCTTATCACAGGAATCCCACGCATCTCTCTGGACCAGTCAGCTGATTGGGGGTTGTAATCATACTAGAAGACATAATAGTGATATATAAACTCAGCATAAATTCAATTGACTCCAAGGGCAAAGTTCTGGATTGGGAACACACGGATCTTGATCCTTGGAAAATCCTCTCTCCTCCAAGGACTCTGCCAGTCAGGTTCAGAAGTTTCTCGTCAAAGCTGAGTCCCCATTTTGACATCTCCGACTGCGCATCAGCGTTCCTTACAGGTAAAAGAATTTAAGTTTGAGATCATGTTTGCAGAAAGGCTGACACAAAATATGAGATTTTCAATTAAAATATTTACATACAGGAGTAGAATTAAGCCAATTTTATAAAATAGCTTTAAAGTAATTTTTTTTAACGCTTGAAATTGCAATGTTTGATTGCAATGCATTTAAGCTGACTTTATTTTCCACCTACTTGTGAATGCTTGTTATAAATCTGTTGAGCTGCCTCTCCCTCTGATCTGGGTTCAGTCTGGTGTGCGTGCTCAACTCCTTCATTATGGTAAAGTCATTCCGCATCTTATCAGTCAACCCTGTAAAATACGATTCGCTTTTTACATGCTCAACATTTTCAACAAGTTATGCATCACATGAGGGTTATTTTGACTAATCAAAATCATCCGCAGAGTTTTCAGCCATTACCAGACATTATGCAGCACGGCCATTAGACACTGAAATATATTTATGCCAACAGTCAATGAAGCTTTACATAACTGCAGGAGTGAAAATACATTTTCACTCCTGCAACAAATGAAACAATACATCTGTCTAATGTTGCAGCTTAAATGCAGTAGCTCCACCTGTGAGGTAGCACAGTTCTGGCACAAGCATAGCTGGGCCAGGAGGGGGCGCTCCAGCAGGGCCCATCTTCTTCACATGGCTAACCAGCAGCACCTGGTTCGCATCAGTGATGTCCAGACCGTATTGCTACGGAAAGAAAAGATCCAGAGTGGAAAAGAATAAGGCTGTGTTAAACTCAAACATAATTACTGTCAGAAAAGGTTTTTTTTTTTTTTTTTTTTTTTGTGAGTGCGTCTTTAAATCAAAACCAGCACACAAGACGCTGTCTGGTGTCTACATTAGTCACTCTGCATGTGCACCAACCAAGAGCATTTTGTGTTTTAACGCTTACGTTCTTGTAGTAGTTCCTAAAAGAGATTTCTGTGTCTCCTCTAGTGAAAGTGTTGTTGGGAGTGTGATCCCAGGCAATGTCATCAACCCTGTAGGTTTTGTTGTTGTACCTTCACATAAAAAAACGTTATGTAGAAAGCAGGTCTTGGAATATATGCAAGATATTTAGAATTATTCCAGTAGAAGCCGCTTAAATTTTAAAACCATGGAAACAACTACATGGATGTGTCAGGTCTTACTTTGTGAGGACGATCTGGCCAATAAGCTCCTTGGCACAGATGTCAGTGTAGCGTTCTCTTCCACACTGCTGCCTCAGGCTGACCATGAGGTCGAGCACCGTGTCACTACGAAGCACCTTGTGGCTCACGTCGGTGCACATCATGATGGAGGACTCGTAATTGAGGATGGTGGTGGAGTACCCCGGCCAAACTGTTAATCTAAAAACAAACAAAAAAAAACCCCAAGAAGCCCCAGTGATCATAAATCCAAAAGAAACCTTAAAACTCTTTTTTTCTCCTTATTAGTTGATCAGCTTTTAGTTTCTATATGATTAGAAATTTCTTTAAACATGTACTAAGTAAAAGACAAAATTTTCCACTTATGGACAAAACATCCACTCTGCTTTTGTCAGTTGACTGTATTGTGACTGGTAAAAATTAATTTTACTAATCTTGAAACATGTTGATTTTAAAAATTGTGGGCAAAAAAGAGAAGAACAACAAAAAAACAACCACCGTACCTGTGCTGTCGGATCTCGTGTGGCTCATTGGGGTTGTAGTAGTTGCGTCCAATCTGCTGCATGTTCAGAACTCTAAGGATCCTGTGAAATTCAATGCAACCAATGAGACAAATTCTCAATGAGGCTCCTGGTGTTATTTTACCCCTCTGACCTACCGTCTGAAGATGAGGTTGTAAAACTGAATGCACACTGGTGATGTGGGTGGCAGCTCGTTTGTCAAGGTGACTGTTATCAAAACCTTCTCCTTATTCCTTGTCTCACTGTAGAGGACAGTCTCCTAAAAATTCAACAAATCATAAAAAGAAGAAGCTAAATAAAAAGCTCATAAAAGTGCAAAAATAGGACAAGAGCTATTTAATATTATTGTAAGAGCACATTTTTTTCTACATATGACTGATGACAGCAGAAACGGTTGAATTATTTTACTGAAATCTGAAATATTCTATTAGTTGATTTAGGCTTTTAGGTCCGCAGAGGCCGACCCAGTTAGAACCGTTAAAACCTCTGGAGGAGGTACAAGAGGTAGAACTGAAGAGACTCATGCTGTACCTTGCTGTGCAGTCTGTGAGGCAGGAAGAGCAGAGCGCCATCGAAGTTCCGAGCTGAACCAAGGACTTCTGAGTGCTGGAAGAGGAGGGCAGATCTCAGGCGCCTGGACTCCATCTGGGGTTTGAAGTCCACATGGTACTGATACAGAATCCACTGAGGGCGAGACAGGATCCGGAAGAAGTTTGCAGTCAACTTGATGGCGGCACCGGATGTTCCTGTAGTAGTGTGCACACAGATGACCTTCACGATGTTCCTCTCACAAAAAAACAAAACACATATATGCATTGTTCTGGTATACGTCTGTGGTAATGGACTGACCAGTCTTTGATTCCTTCACATGTTCCATCGCCTGTCTGGTGTATACTCCTATATCATGAAAGTCCCGTCGGCGTCCGCCTCGTTCTCCAAGCTTCACTTGCTGAAATCCAGTTGAGATCTGCAGAACAGCTTTAAACAGAATTTAGACTGTTAACAAAAACTGAAAGTTAGTACAGTGTAACTGGGAAGTATCCACATTTGATTAAACTATGGAAAAAGTGAAGCCTCTCAAATGCACTGTGAATGTACATTGTTAGAAGGATTTGCAAACAAGTCCTATATATCTATCAAAAGTAAAGACTCCCATGTGCTTTTTTGCATTTTAATCCCCCATTTCCAGCATCCACAAGCTTTATTTCACCTTCTCTGGCTATGGCTCCAGGAGCACCCTTCTGTCTGCCTCGGCCAACCAGCTCGCCCTCTGCTGGAGGGGGAGGCGCTGGTGCCGCCTCATGGGCCTGGGTCTGCAAAAGACCAAAAGAATAAAAAATAGTTTCAAACATGCTCAAGTTCTGTCGAGAACTGGAGTTGGAGACGCCAGATTTTATTGTACCTGTGTACAATAAATAAAGAAAAATCAAGTAATTTGATTTGTGAAAATGTGCTTAAATAGCCAACAAGGTCTGGAATCCATCAAAAAATAATTTCTATTTTAATTCCAGAAAATGTAAACATGCTAAGAAAATAATTCTTCAATTAAAATATGCTACACAATCTAAGGAGCTAAGACTTTTTTTAATATAAGCATTGTCAGTCACAACTTCTCAGATACTAATGTGAATTATATATAAAAAGTTAGTATGTTTTAATTTATCACAATCAAAATGAGAATACTTTTTATATATCCAAAGTTATGTTTGTATTATGGGCCATTTTCTAAATAACATGTACAGTGTAAACCTTTTCCAGCCGAGAATTGTTTTTTTTTAATGGAGTCCTTTGACTGGGTCTCCACTAAAGGTGGCCTGGATGCCATAAGAAGGCAGCAGTGCAGCGTGTATTTAGAAAACGAAGTGAAACTTACCGCTCCGGGCGCTGCCGTCTCTTGACCACGTGCTCTGCCTCTTGATCTTGCTCGTGCACGACCGGTCATTTTTTTCAGTTACTCTGCAACGGCACAAACTGCTAGAGAAAAAAGGGGAGATTTCTTTCGCTTTTTCTCGTATTGTGGACGAAGAATTTCAAAGCACGCTCGGGGAACAACTTGATGTACTTCACTAACAAGAGCGTACTAGTATGAGTCGCATACAAAGACGAGACTTTGGGTCCTGAAGGGAGACGAAGGCCTCAGGGTTAACTTGCTGCTAGCTCGCCAGGTGCAAGCTAATTTTTGGAAACTGGAAAAAATAAAATTACAAAAAAATATAGATATATAAATATACATTACTGTCTGTTATTTCAACCATATTGAATTTGACACATTTCTAGGCACGTTACTGAAAATTCACAACTTTCGAAATAACTAAATATATATTTTTTTTGTAACTCGGCAGGCAATTTCATTTAGAAAGCTATTTGGTCATGGTCAGTAAGTTTTCTATTTGTCGGTTTTAATATTTAAAATGTACTTACTTTTTAAATAATTCTTCGCAAACAAACTTTTCACGCAGATCCCATCCAAAATCCAAAAGACTAAACGTTACTGCTAATTTGCTTTAGTACTCCAATGAAACATATATTAATACGCCTCTTGGATTTTATTTTCCTCCTCCTCAAATGCCTTGTAACTAAATACATTTATATGGTTTATAAATGTTGTAATAAACCATAACACAACCATAACCTCTCCGTTATAATTTTCTTTTAAAAACCTTAACAGAGACTTTACATGAGGACCTATGAAGACATAAACACATGTAAAGTTTGGGAACTAGTTTTCCAGGCGGAATAGTCTTTTCAACATTTTGCCGTTCTCTGTGGGAGTTTTAGTAGGTGCTATCGCTTTTATCGCCACTAGATGGAGACAAAGACAAGAAATAACAAACAGTCCATACTTAATTAAGGCACACAAACTCAGTCTGAGGTTCTGATGAAGCCAAGAACGCAAAACTAATGTTTGTGGCGGTTCATAATACACAACACTTAGCTAATTCATAATCTGTTTCTAAACGGAGCTTAGTGACACTCAATACATTTGTCAAAATGTCACTAAAAATGAAACAAGACTGAGTTTGGTATTAAAAAGTCTTATTTGAGGCCATACACTTCAAAGATGGAAGCGTGACCTAAGACTTTTAGATCTGAACCAAGACTCTATTTTATTTTACTTTTTTTATTAGGAGAATGTATTTTATTTCAGAAAATGTTCAACTAAAAAAATAGTTAACTGAAAATTTCTAAAAAAAAAAAAACATAATTTTATAAAGTCAGAAATTAATTTAAGGCTCTTTTTTAAGATATGCCTCATCATGAGTTATTATTTCATGACAAACTTTTCTACCCTGCTCTACATTCGACTATCTGAAAGAGAACTTGGCACCTCAGAGGGCATTTTGGGAGGATGTATGCAAGTCTTTCATGTCTGAGATCTAAGACTGATTACATATTCAAACCGGAGGGACGATTCTAGGAGGACCTGCTTTTGTTACTGTTTACCTGCTGGAAGAAGACTGAAGGGAGCTGAAGCAAAAAGGCATTGACTTGAATGTCATCAAGCCTGATTGTTGTGCAAAAGGAGGAAGCGTATATGGAGCTAAAGATAGGCAAAAACATTTCCCTTAGCACATTTTGGGAATGCAGCAGTTTGAGAGACATAATTCAACACATTGTGTCACCACAAAAAAAGAAAGAAAAAATACAGCACTGTAAAAACTGATATAAAATAGGGTGAGTGAGATCTCTTCATAAACACCTCTATTCCTACAAAAAACAGAAGAAGAAGAAAGAAAATACAACCACAAAGGCTTGTGGAAAAGAAGAAAACAGGGCCAGTGAGAGGACGGCAAGCTGAGTGGAGCGAGGCTGAGAAAGGTGCACCCTGCCAGGGACGTTGATGAATGCGCTTCAGGCTTCAAGCTCGCCCCGCAGCCTCCAGCCGTGTGGATTCCACGCTTACGCTAATCATGCTCTGTGAGATACCACGGCCCAGAGCTGATGAAAGGGAACACGGAACGCGGTTAGGATCTCAAACCGGGCTGCACTTCCACAAAACGCGCAGCTTTCACAAACATGCTTCTTCTGCGTCGATTTGCCGCGTCTGTTTTCAACCTAATTTCCTGGTTTAATCATTGAAAACAAAACAAGATCAAAGCTTCCGTTTTACATAATTCACAGCGACTCCATTAAGCTTGAACTCTTGATTGCAAAACCAGAGCAAGAGGGGATTCTGGATAATAAGTATCTACCATAGCATGATATCTGTAAGCGGGTTATGGAAATTAGATTATTCTCTTTCCAACCATGGAACCTAATCTGCTCCGCATCAGTGTGTTTCTCTTAAGAAGACGCAGGCGGTGCATAACACAAACAGCATCATGGGCTTCTAAAGCGTTTGAAAAATAAGCTATTAGAGTAAGCATGAGGTCTAAAAGCTAATTATGGCACTAATACAGTGAAACTTATACACACTGCAACATTTTTATTATTTTTTTATTTTATTTGTTCCTGTAGGCAAATTAAAACAGTTGTTACAAATCTTTACTTCCAAATGTGAAATTTGAAGAGGGGGGAAAAAATGAAAGAAAAACGGTTTGCATTTACATTTTTAGCACCGATAGCAAATATTTAGGAAGAGCCCAAAAATAAATGCATCTTTTGAATCTCGTAAACAAAATTTCAGAAAAACTTCCCTTTTAAACCTCACTTTTTTCCCTCTTTTTTAAAAAAGAAAAATCACCAGTGACACATCTATTGGCACCTCTGCTTTCAAAACTTTGAACAGCCCCAACTCAGCAAACAGCACATAGTCATCTCCTGTGAGATTTCATAAGGTTGGAGAACCCAGAGAAGGCAATCTTTGAGCATTTCTCTGTACTTGAGCTCTCTGTCCTCTTCTTTACTCAAATTTTAGTTTTTTTCATAGGGATTGGATCCAAAAGTTGAAATATTCATTGAAGAAAGTCACGTTGTGGATCAGTGTCTTCTGGACACATCTGATTGTGGCAACCATTTCTGTTTAAATCCCAGTTACCCTTAGGAAAGCTCCACACATTTCTGTTTGTGATGGTAGGACAGAAAACATATATGTGCAGCAAAACTCCCAGCTGGCACGTGAGAGGGGACAGACAGAGAGGTTAATGGTTGCTATGGACCCTTGGGGGACTAAACGATGCAAGGCTTTTTTAAAAAATGTCTTACTTACCTTGACCAGCGAGTACAAGCTACAAATTACACAGAATGCAAACTATTATTAATTGAAAGTCCCTTTGAACTCTAATCAATTAAGTTCATCAATTAAAAAATAATTTAAAAAAAATGTAATGAGGTAAATTACATTTACCTCAGTTTGTTTTCTTAAAATTATTACTCTTAGATGTGTTAAATTATATTTTATAATGATCTTCAGACTGTGCTAATGCAAAATAAGTTCCATTCATTTTAGAGCTTTTTCCCATCTTTGCCAGGCTTTCAAGCAAATGAGAAATCGCAGTGCATCCTGGACGAAAGTGAATGCATAAACACGTTTTAAAACAAAAGAATGCTACATTTCATCTTGTAATCTAAAAGAGGTTTAAGGAAAAATAATGACATTACATATTTTCCAGCTATGACAGGACACCGCATAATCATGCTTGTAGTGCTCCTTATGTGCACTGACATTGAAAGACTTTCATGTCCCTGCTGAAGAAAAGCATCCCCAGAGCATGATGCTTTCACCACCATGTTTCGCTGTAGAAACGCTGTTCTTGATGTGATGTCCGTCACACATGGGTGTTTCAATGCAGAAGAAAAAGGTCCATTTTTGGTTTCATTTAAAGCACTTACTTTCACATGCTTGTTGTGCCCCCCCACATTTTTATGAGGGCAAGCTACAAACGAGATGTTTGAAGCTCTTTTTTCTCTTGCCAGGCCCAACCCTGCTTGAAGCTTCTCCACATTGTGACCTGTCAGCTGCAGTTCCTTCCTTTTCAAGATGCTGTCTGTTCTCTGATGCTCTCCAAAAAGCCTCGCAGGCCTTCACATAGACGCCATATTGAGATGAAATTGCACAAACTCTTTTCATCAGGATCTTCCGATGACGGCTGACGACACTCGATTTCATTGAGTGGTTCTAGTTTAGAGAGGGCTAAATACAAAACAATTGACATTTAAATCTATGCCACGATTGTTATTCCATTTTATTAATGTATTTTTGTCAATTGAACAGCACATATTCAGAAAGTAACCAAGAACTTTTAAAATGGTGAAGTGCTTATAAGCAACCCCTCCCACAAGCCAAATAAATAAATACCAGGATTTTCCAAAATGATTTAACCTCTTCCAAAGTTTTCCTGCAAACTCGAGCCCCAAGGACATAAGGCACACAGCTTTGTTTTGTTCACACAGTGCTTGGCAAATACTCCCCTTCCTGCTCATTTCAAAACAAAATCTAGCGACTCGTGGCCTTGGCTTGTAGTGTTTGTGTGCACAGAGACAGGAAGTCGGCGCAGAAACAGATTATTTTCATTTCAACACTAAGTTGTGGGAAGCAAATGCTTGAAAATAAAAGAGCTGAAAATAAGAAAGTTGTTCTCAATGTTTCAGCTTTGCCGTTACGTTTCTTCTTTTAATTTTTCTTGTTTTTCGATCTCCACCAATTTGTGGTGGCTGGACAGGGACGAGGCTGACCACAGAGGCAGAAACCCCTCAGAGTTGGCCTCAGTCGGGAACACCTCGCTGTGATCTCTGGAAAAAGTCAACAAGGTTCGGTCCACAGCTGGGCCGCAGGAGAACAGAGAGGAGGCACGTAGCAACACCCTCCTGCTGGGTCTGCGAGAGAGTGTACTGTACTCCTTTGATGCAAAGCATATGGCCGGACAGGAAACCGCCCTCACAGAAGCAACCTCTCCATTTAGCACTCGCACTGGTTTTCTTCTACCTCAGACAATAACGCTAAATGTTTAACCCCCCCGCCCAGCTAAGAAGGCCACACCATCTCTTCCTTGCAGGCTACTTTGCAGATATGCAACCCAAAGAAGATCAAGTCGACTGCGTCACTGACACTTCCCAGAAGTTTGAAGTTCAATTCTCGTTCCGCCTTTTTGCTTAAATCATTGGCTATGAACAAAGGTGCAGCGAAGCATCCGCGGCAAAGAATCTAATAAGCGCAATGTGGGAATAAAGCAGAGGGGAGCAAGCATCAAAGGCAGCCAGGCACAGCATGACTGGCATCAGGCTGAACTTCCAACCTAGGACACTCAGCATGCTCTTCAGCAATCGCCCCCTGTGGACTAGTCCTGGGCAGTAATTAAAACCATCATTCCTACTGCCTCAGTATCTCATTAGCCACAGGACCTTAAGCTTTCATCCTACTTGTCCGAAAATATCACAACTCCCCACCAGCAAGGATGAGTCTCACCAACCAAATAAAAAGAGCGTGCCTCTGCATTCTTCAGTTGTAAACATGGCTTTACAAAACAGGTAAGTCTTTCTTGTCGATTAAAAGTGCCTGGTGCAGAAAACAAAGGAATGTTGCTCTACAAGAAATTTTTTTTATTTTTTATTTTGCTTTTGTGTAATTT